GCAGCGGGTGCTGGTGGCATCGCTGCGGCCTGGGGCTGGCAAACACCGCAGGGGAAAACCTGGGGCCTGGACAAGGAAAGTGAGTGACCGGGCTGGACGGGGGGGGACAGGGGACCCTGGAAAAGAGAAGTCCACAGCGAGAGATAAAACCTCCCCTGCCCCATTGCCAGCCAGGACGAGCTCAGTGCCAGGCACAGAACCGGGCCCTGCCCTGTGGTCTGTTCTGGGGCTGTCCCCACACCGCGGGGACTGCACCCAGAGCTCGGTGGGGTCCCGTCAGCACCGGGATCGCTGCCAGCCCCGCGGGGCCGCGTCACCTGCGGGCCCCCGGCACCCTTTGATCCAGCAGCATCCGAGCGCAGCCGGGGCCGCGCCGCGGCTCCGCCGCTGATGTTTTCCCAGCTGCAGGATCACCGTGACCCGGCCCCGAGGGCTCCGAGCCAGCGCGGGGTCGCTGCTGACGCCAGCCCTGACCCCTGCATCGGGACCAGGCATCGGGAACGCCCCGGCCCCGAGAGCTCAGCGAGGCACAGGAAGATGAGGGCGCAGCCACGAGGTCCCAGCGGGAGCCCAGCGGCAGGGTCCATCCTCAGGGCCGGGCTCGGCACCCTGCCTCCACCCCGACATCCCGGGGTACCCCCGGGGCCGGCGCCGCAGCCGACGGCTGCCGTCAAGCGCAGACAGGCGGGCTCCTCACGCAGCTCGTGACACGAGGACGGCTCTGGGAGCCTCGTGGGAGACAAAAGGGGATGGGGGGGGGGGGGGGGGGGGGGGATCTGCAGCTACGTAAAAATAAAAATGCAGGAATGGTGACCTCGGGCAGAGCCGGGGGGATCTGAATGGTGGCTCTGTGCCCGCGGAGGGGCAGGGCACGAGGCCACATGCGGTCTGTCCCTGCAGCTGCTCGGGACAAACAGGACATGGAGAAAGGGAGCAGAAGAGGGTGAGCTCATGGGGTCAGGGCCCTGGAGGCCCACAGCAGCTCTGCCTTTTGCTAGGGAGAGCTCAGTCCCCAGCACACTGATCCCACCTCCAGGCTTTGCTGTGTCTGGGTGGCAGGAGGAGCTGCTTTGGGGTGCTGCAGGGATGCAGAGCAGGACCCAGCCACACCGGGTGCATCTGCAGTGTTCCTCAATCAAGCACAGCCCAAACAAGGCACCCCATGGTGCAGGCAGGGACCTGCTGCCATCAGGCACACACAGTGCCAGGGTGATGTGGTCCCTGGGGCTCAGGTTCACATCCTGCCCCTCCTACTCACCAGTGCTGCAGAGGGACCCTATCTGCCGGTGCTGGACCTGGCCAGTCACACTGCCTTCCTCTGTCCACAGCCTCCTCACCCAGCCCCAGTGCCCAGCAGAGGGGCACAAGACAGGGAAAGTTCTTGGGCTCATTTCTCCAGTGGCCACGCGAATGAAAAAGGGCAGCAGAAGCCCATGCTCCTCTCAGGGAATATAAAGGCTGAAGCAGAGTAAGTGAATTACAGTTAAAGGAGCAATTGGTCACTGGTAGGGAGGGAGAAGCTGGCCCATGCAGCCCCAGTTTGCATTAGGGGTCCCAGGCGGGCAGCTTGGACCGGGTTTGAGCCAAGGGGCTGAGCAGTGCCTGTGGGTCGGAGCTGGTGGTGGGCTGCAGCCCTGCTCCCATGGCTCCCACCGGCACCGTGCCTGAGCCCTGGAGCACTCGTGACCTGGGGGGCGAGCACTGGGCTCCACTGGCTCCCAAGGAAATGGGAAGCAATCGCAGGGTGCTGGCGCCGTGCTCTGTCCGGCTGAGCCAGCAGCGCAGCTGGACCTCCTCCTGTCTCGCCGTGTTTGCACAGCCTGTCCTTTGGCTGCTCGCTGCTCCCTGGACAAACGTTCCTTATCCAGACTGCCCCAGCGGGCCATGCTGTGGCCATCCCACCCATCCCTGGTCCCATCCCTGGTCCCATCCCAGACCCAGTCATGACAGGGGGAACGTCCAGCCCAAGCTGTGCGAGCCGCGGCACTTTGCACTGGGATAGACCAAATCTGTGGCTTTGGCTCTTGCGCTGGTTGTTTTTGTACAACTTCTGGCTGCTATAAATCACACCATTCTGCCTCCGAGTAGGTACTTTCCATGCTGGAACAGCCCAAAAAGCCGTCAGAGCCACTTTTAATCAGCTGCGCTTTGGGCCAACTGCGAAACGCGAGCTGCGAGCTGTGATTTGAACACAGACCAGCCCCGATGGTTCCCATCAGCACCGGCCTGTGTTTGTTTAACGAGAGGGACCCGCCGGGCGCTGCACGCCCGGTTGTGTGCGCACACTCACGCACACGCAGCCCTGTGCTCTTCCCGGTGCTGGGAACGATCCCGGGAGCCGGAGCTGCCCCCCCCCCCCCGGGGGTCCTACACATCCCCCCCGCTCCCCGATCCGACCGGGGGGACGGAGCCGCAGCGGCTCCCGCCCCATCCCGCCCGGGGCCACCGGCGGGGTCCCCAGGAGGAGCCGCCTCCTCGGTTGTGCTCCTCGGTCCCCCCGCTCCCCCCGGGCCGGGGCAGCCCCTCCCCCGCTCCGCCCCGCCGCTCTCGCGCTTTCTGCGCCTTTTCTTTTTCTTTTTTTCCCTTCTTTTTTCCCCCAGAAGGGGCGCGGCCGGAGCCGGCCTGGGCCGGGGGGGCCGGGGAGGGGGGACCGGGGCTGCCCGTCCCCGCCCGCAGCGCGGGAGGAGCCGCCGGGGGAGCGGCGAGCGGCAGCACCGGGCCGGGGGACACCGGGCTGGGGTCAGCGCTCGGCCCCGGCGAGGACCAGGGAGGGGACGGCTGGTGCCAGGCCCCTCCACCACTTCCCACCCAACATGGTAATTCCTTCTCTTTTCCTATCCTTCCCCTTGCCCTGCCCTGCGAGAGCCCACGGGACCCTATGAGCATCCACGGGCACCCATGTGCCATGGCCTCTCCTGAGCTATGGGGCCATTGGGGCAGGGCGCATGCGGGTGGCATCCCGGGATGCTTGAACACCCCTGTGAAGTCTGGCTGGGGAATGGGGTGCAAGAAGCAGGTGCTACCGCGTGTATCATGCCCGGTGTGCAGGTACAGGATGCTCAGTGGGTCCCAGGGCTTGTTTGTCCCCATTGCTGTGGGCTCATGGGCGATGCTGGGCTGGGCTCGGGGGGTCGATAGCATTCACTGTCTGCATCGCGCCCTGCCAAAGTTGCTGCCAGTGAGAGCTGTGGGAGAGCCAGAGGAATTGTTATTCAGAGCTGGTCTCAACACTCAAACCTCGCTCCTTCCTGAGAGGAGGGAGAAGGGGGATGGAGCTGAGTCACCCCATGTATGAGTTAAGCAACTTTCCAGCACCAGAACACCAAAGCTCGGCTGGCCTTGGTGGTGTAAACCACTTTAAAAATATGGGTATTTGGGGAGAAATATCAATCTCTATTTAACAGCACTTTGGCTTATTAAAATGGAAATAGCTTTGCAAATGTAAATCTCCTTATGCTCCCTAATGCCTTTTGTTTCGGTTCCACGCTCACCCGCAGCTGGTGGAGGGACCTGGGCTGATGGTTGTTCTGGTTGGTCTGGGTTTCCAGCGCTCCCTGGCAGGCCGGGGCCTGGCATCTCCCACCGTGGTTACCCCTCAAGCCTCCCGCTGCGGTGAAGTGCTTTGTGACACTCAGGGAACATTCCTAGGCATTCCAGGCCAAACTTCCCCAGCACAACCCAGGCTGTGTCTGGAGCCTCCATCAGCCCGCAGCTCCCTCCTGACGCTGGCTCACGCAGTCCCCGCTGCTGGATGAAGTCCTGGGTGGTTTTGTTCCACGGACAAGGAAGCAGCTTTGTTGACTCAGTGGATCCATCCTCCGCATGCTGTGGGGTTCTGGTGATGGTTTGGAAGATCCGTTTTCCCCTGCAGTGGGGCTGCCCCTCCCCAGGCACCCCAAGTTCACTTTACCCAAGGCAGGGGACCAGGGAGCTGGGATGCATGTGCTGAGGCCAGGGAGGCTGCTCAGGGTTTGAGGGGCCAGTGTCACCAGAGATGATGGCAGTGGGTTGGAGCAGCTGGAAGTATGTGCCTTTGCCCCATCAGACCATGGCTGAGCCAGGGAATGGCCGGGTTTGGGGCTGCCCATCACCCCGTGGTGCAGCCTGCCCTGAGCAGAGTTCCTGGCTTTTCCTTCTGGTTTTACTTGCTTTATCAGAGCCACGAGTTTGGTTTCAAGAGAGCTGGTTCTGTGTGTGCCAGGGCTGTGTATGGGTGACCCTGGGCAGGGCACAGAGCTGGCTCATCTCTCTGGGCAGCATTAGGAGCTGGATGGGTCACTGCGGATGGTGACCCTGTAGAGGCAGAGCTGTGAGCTGGGCTTTACCCTGCGGTGGGGCTGTTCCAGAGCCAGCCTCCAGTCCCTCCTGGGAGCTGCACAAGGCAAGAGCAAGCATGAGAAGACCAATGGTCCAACAGCCACCAGCCTGGCAGGGGCGTCCACTTAGAGCCCATGGCCCTGAGAAGGGACTTGCTCTCCTCCTGCTCTCCCACCAGGCCCAAGGGCAGGAGATTCCTGTGTGGACACAAAGTCAAGAATTATCCAGAGCATGACTGCAAAGTGCTTTAGCTAAAGCGCATTAAAGCTAATTAAGCTGAATTAACCGAGGTCACTATCTCTGTATGGGCTCACAGGCCAAGGATTAGCTGACTGAAACTAATGCTCACCTTTAGCTCATCCCACCTTCAGCTCATCCCACCTTCCCACCCCAGAGTGCAGGGATGACAGCGAGCTGTCCTCCGCTGTTAAATCCAGAGCCCACCCCAGGAGATGGGCTCGCCTGTGCTGTGACTGCAGCCAGTGGCAGAGCTGGTGGCTCCCTGGTACTCAACAGGCAGAGGTACCACATTGTGCTCTGCAGGAGGAGGAGGATTGGTGGCCCACTGCAGAGGGGCAGATCCGCATTCAGCCAGGCTGGGCCTGACCCTGCTCCACACAGATCTGCACCTCTCCTCCTGCTGCAGCTCCACTTCCAGCCCCCGGCACCGGCACAGCAGATTTGTTGTGTGTTGGAGCCTCTCCTGCACAGATACTGGCCAAGGAGCTGGAGGAGCCCCTGTGTGTCCCGTGGCTCGTTTCAGCAGCCGTGTCTGTCTGCAGTCACCCGGCACTGCCTGCAGTGATGCTGGGGTTTAACAGGAGCTGGCTGATGGCTCCTCCACGCATTGGCTGCACCAGCCGGGTCTGCACGGCCAATGTCTCCTGCAGGCTGGGAGAGCCAACTTGGAGCCCCCAGTTTACACATGGCACGAAGCAGTGTCCTCATCCTCATCCCAGTCTGGAAGTGCAGGGAGGGGGCTGTGACCCAGCAGAGCGATTCCCAGAAAAAGCCTGAAGGACCGATGTAGAGTTCAGTAAATTCAGTGATGAGAGTGAACCAAAACACCCAATCCATCTTCCCATGTTTGTCCTTCCTCCCATCTGCTGCATTCCTGCAGCGCTGCTGAGCCCGGCACATCCCCAAGCTCTGCTCTGCGTCTGGCTCAGCTTAACCCCTTGGCTGCTGCAGCTCCTCCGCCTCCGCATGGCCCCATTCCCAAGCTCCTTTCTCAGGCTCCTTAAACCACAGCCCGGCGCTGGGAACCAGACCCGGCCGTGCTCCTGCCCCTGGGCTGTGCAGTGCTTGGGGTGCTCCGTGCCCGGATCATTCCCAGCTTCCAGTACAGGAAGGTTTGGAGCCCCCGAGCTCAGCACGTTGCCGGTGTGGGCACAGAGGGACCCGGCCGAGGCACAGCACACGGGATGGTGGGCATGGGATGTGTGGGGTCAGTGCCCCATTGCGGGGCTGCTGTCCCCACCGGTGACACTTTCCTCCTGCAGGATGCCGGCTCCCTGGATGCAGCGGTGCAGGGCGCCCTCCAGGCCCTCTACCCGCCCTTCGACGCCACGGCCCCCACGGTGCTGGGGCAAGTCTTCCGGCTGCTGGAGACCAGCTACCAGGGTGATGGGCTCTGCTGCCTGCTCCAGTTCCTCATCCCAGCCAAGCGCCTCTTCGAGCACGTCCGGCAGGCAGCCTGCGTAAGCCTGTGCACTCCCTCTGCATCTCCCCTCCTGTCCCCATCCACTCCCTAAAGGGGACCATGGTGCATCCAGCTCCCTGGGATGGCTCCAGCACCGAGCCTGGCACATGCAGTTCCTGCAATAGGGGCAGAGGGACTGGGGGGTCACCTTGTCTTGTCTCTGGAGAGGCTCTGACAGAGGTTTCCCCTCTGTTAGCACATGGGGAGCACGCAGCAGCGGGTGGGCTTGCAGGGCTCTGCTATGGCTCAGGCTGGGGATATCCCATTGGGTCATGAGGCTCATCAATCCCCACCATGGAACTGCAGAGCTGGGTACTGAGAGTGCATGGGGCTGGCTGGGAGGGTCTGGAGCTGGTGGGGGCTCTCGCTCACGCGCTGTGTTCTTCCTCCCTCCCAGGCTCCCTACTTTAACTGCATCTTTCTCCATGAAGGCTGGCCCTTGTGTCTGCACGAGAAGGTGGTTGTGCACCTCGCGCCGCTCAACCCGCTCCTGCTGCGCCCTGGGGACTTCTACCTGCAGGCGGAGCCGTGCGAGGAGCACTCGGCGCGCATCGTCCTCAAGCACCTCTCCCAGGACCTGTGCACGGTGGAGGAGATGCCGGTCCCCGAGGCTGCCTACGCGCTGCTCTTCACCAACGAGTGGCTGGAGGAGATCAACGGCGACCGGGCCGGAGCCCCCCTGCAAACCTGCCTGGTGGCCACTGAGAATGGCATCGCCCCGCTGCCGTGGAGCAGCATTGCCACACCGGAGTTCATCGACAAGCCCAAGGCTGGAGCTGATGGGATGTCTGTGGACACCCAGCGTGACCCTGCTTCTGAAGCCGCAGTCGAGTCAGCAACACCCAGCGTGCCCGTGCCCCACGGCAAGGCAGGCATCCCCGGGCCCTATAGCAACGTTGTGGGCACCATCCCGGGCTGCAAGGGCACCTCTCGGAAGTCGAGCCAGGGAAAATACCCGGGACTGATCAAGGTGGACCAGGCTGGGCTGCGGAAGAAGCCGAGCGCGCTGGCCATGCCCAGCCTCTGCGAGATCATCAGCCAGAACCTGGAGGGGGAGTACGTGGACCTGCTGGAGCTGTCCCCGGAGCAGATGGGCCTCCTGGCCAGGTCCCTGCCGGCGGGCGCCGGGAACAAGGCTGCGCTCCCCTGTGTGAACGGGGGTCCCTGCGGGGCGACACCGAGCTCGGAGGAGGGTCCCTGCACCCCGTGCCTGGGGCGGGAGCTGAGCCGGGAGCCGGGGCCACACGGGCCACGGTGCCGCCACCGCGACTCGTACCTGGCCGCGCTGCAGAACCCGGTGAGCTTCGGCGCCGGGCTGATGGCAGCCATCCTGGAGGAGCCGGACGGCCCCGGCCCCGAGCCGCCCCCCGCCGCTCCCCGTGAGAGCCCCGCGCAGCGCGGGATGGGGGCCGGCAGCCCCACGCTCCTCACCCCCCGAGCCCAGGCAGGGGCGCGGCAGAGCAGCCCCCGGCTGCCCCAGGGCTCCGGCCACAAGTTCTCCTTCCTGAAGGGGCCCCGGCTCGGGGCGGCCCCTGGGGATGAAAGAGCCGGCAGCCAGCAGGAAGGGGCCTGGAGGAAGATGTCTGCCATCTACTCGCCCAGGATGGGCAGAGCCAAGGCAGGCGGGAAAGGTACCGGCCGAGCAGGGCTGGGGGACCTGTGCGGGGGCGTTGCATTCCCCTGCCTCGTTACACATTATCAGCTCCTCTCCTCTGTCCCCACGGGCAGGTTCGGATGTGGCAGCCCCTGCCCCTGCGGAGGAACGACCCATGGAAAGCTCCGGCTGTAAGAATGGACCCTCCATGCCCAGCACCAGCACCAGCACCAGCACTGTGGGCTGGGAGCCGCCGGCCTGGCAGGACCTGCACACGGGGCTGCTGCACTCAGGCATCGTGTGCCTGCCAGGTACCACCAGCACCGCGACCCACGGATGTCGGGATTGGGCTCCAGAGGGAGAGCACTGAGCTGCTGGAGGGAGGTCCTGGGGCTCTGCTGGAGGCACAGGGCACCCGGGGGGGGGGGGATTTTCTTTCAGCTGGGCAAAAAGAATGAGAACCATAAAAACAAGCAGCCTGCTCGGAGCAGCTGCCCCATCCCCAGCTGCACCGAGCCCTCCCACACCATTCCTCACCAGTGAAGCCGCTCAGCTTTAGCTGCCAAGCACTAAACATTTGGCTTCTCCTTCTTCCCAAGAGCTGCAGAACGGTGACAAAACCGTTTCCTTCAGGAGGAGCACACAGGCAGCTCTGCCCTGCCATTTCCAGGGCTGGTTCCTGCCGAGAGCCCTCCGGAGGGCTGGGGTGCGGGGGCCGCTGCTGAGCCCCCGAGCCCAGACAGGGCAGAGCCCGCTCCTGCAGCCATGGGCAGCGCCGGCCCCTGGGGCTGGAGCCCGCAGCGGCTCCGGGGGGGTCACGCACCCCTTTCCCTGCAGGCAGCTCAGACAGGCAGGGCAGGGCCCTGCTCCAGGTGACCACCGGTGGCAGCGCCTGGGGGGCCGCGTGGTGCTCGGCCGCTGAGCTGGGGACGCTCATCCTCTACCTCTGCTCCATCGCCAGGTAAGGGCTGGGGGAGCTGCCATGGACCCCCCGCCTGCTCCCCGGCTCAGGGTCCCAGGCAGCCCCTGGCCAAGCAGGGGTGGATGCCCAGCATCCGGCATGTCCACAGAGCCCCTCCTGCAGCCACCCGCGGGGACCCTGTACCTGCCTCTATGAGGTCTGGCCCTGCCCTCGCCTCAGGCATCCCACAGGGAAAAGGCCATTGCTTGTGGCTGCCGGTTCCTGCCTGCCTAGAGCCATGGGACCGGGCTTAGAGTGGGTCCTACCTGAGGACTTCGTGTGCTGCCTCCTGCTTTGTCTCCCCTTGCCAGGCAAGACACGAAGGACGCCGGCCTGACCGTCGTGGTGGATGCCAGGAAGCAGCCGCCTGCTCCTGTCCTGTTCTCTGCCCTCCGCTCTGCCCAGGTACTCCATGCTCCACTCACCCACACACAGATGTGCTGGGGTGGGGGGTCCGTGCCTGGGAGCCAGTGCTGCTGGGGGGCCCTGCGGTGTCTTGGGGCTGTGGGTCCTCCCTGCCAGGGCACCCTTTGCCTCTGTGTGCTCAGGGCTTGGCTGCAGCCTGCCCAGTGAATCCCACACCAGCCCCAGTGCTCTCTGCGTGCAGAAGCATCACTGGTGCAAGCAAAGGGCTTTGCTCACAAGGCTCTTTCTGTGGGTCCTTTCTGCCAGGGAGCTGGTGGCTGGGACAGGGTTACGGCCCGAGCGACTCATTTCTGTTCCCCACACCAGTGGGCTCAGGAGCCTCTTCCTTTGTAACTGACTCACCAGCCCCAACTGAGCTGGGCAGCCCCGAGGGCTGCACCGCGGGGTTTGTCATTTGGGGTGGTGACTCCTCCCCGCAGAGCATCTCGCCGGGCTGCATCCACACCGTGCTGCTGCTGGCCGAGAAGGAGCTGGTCACGCACCGCGAGAAGCTGCCCGGGGTGCAGGTGAGCCTGTCCCTGCCCCCTCCTCCTGTCCCCACGTTGTCTCCTGTGGGAAGAGCAGAGCGAGGGTGAGCGGAGCCTCCTGCCACAGGGGATCCTCTGTGCCCTTTACCTGGAGGACCCAGTTCCCAGCTGGGGGACCCCAGGCAGAGCAGCACCTCGGTGGGGCTTGTACCTCCATGGGGATCCCTGGGCTTGCAGTAGGCAAAAGCTGTCCCAGGGCAGCCAGCGCCTTCCCTGTTACCTCCAGCGCCTGGACACGGGCACTGGGATAATAAACCTAAACTTGGGTTTATTCCTTTAGTGCTGCTCGGGTTAATGTGCAATATTAGTGATCACCTAGCTGCGCTGTCGTGGCAGGTCATTGTGGTCCAGTGATCTCCCGTGCATTCAAACACGATGGGGAGGCCAGGGGATGCTCCGAGTGGAGCTGTCACACGTGGTGCTCCCAGGGCCAACCCGCTGGTTACCAGGACAGGGTGCTCAGGGCAGGAGGGGCTGTGCCCCTGCTCCAGGCTGTCCCTGGGGGTGTCCCTGTGTGGGTCCCGCAGCGCTCACCCGCCCCGTGCCCGCAGGTGGAGTCGCTGCCGTCGCTGAAGGCTCTGGGCCGCTTCGTCGACAGCTCCCAGCTGACACCGGAGCTGGACGGTGCCTTCCCCTACAGCCACGGCGAGTGGGTGCAGTTCTTCCAGGTGTCTGTTTCCACGCCATGAGCCACAGCCTCACCTCCCTGCAGTGCCCCTTTCCCCACCTCTCCTCCCCACCCCTCACCCCCGCCACCGCTTCCATGTCGCACATCCCCGAAAATCAATGGGAAAGCCCAGGAGAGGGGAAGGGAAAGGAGAGCTCTGAGTGCAGGAGGGCAGCCCCCTCCTGCCTGCTCCTGCCTGCAACTGCCCATCTACCTCCACGCTCCCTTCCTCAGATTTAACCCAGTACCCTACGGCATTCCCTGCTCTGGCCTGGCACCGCTCCTTCTCCTCCTCACAGGCAGGCTGCCCTCCTGCCCCCCTGCCCACCCCACTGACCTGCTGTGTGTCCACCCACAGAAACTGCATCCCTTCACGGCCAGCCTCCGGCGGGCATCGGAGCTGCTGCGGAGCTGCATCCAGGAGCTGCGGACTGGCAACACGCTGGTGGTGACACAGGTAAAGGAGGGGATGCAGATAACAGCGGGATGCAGCACTGCAGGTTGCAGTGCCCATCTGTAGTCCGACACAGCCACATTTCACCACGGTTGCTCAAAACTCGGTGCAGCCGCTCCCTGAACAGCCATGGGGCTGTCCCTGCCCCCTTTGCTGGTCCCTGCGTGGGATGGGAGCTGCTGCACCCCAGGTGAGAGCGTGCCCAACCTTCCCTTGCAGGATGCGGGCGCCTGCATCGGGAGGCACCGGGAGCTGATGCGGAGGGTGCTGAGCGATGCGCCGCTGGTGTGGGTGCAGCGCGAGGGGGGGGCCGTGCTGGCCAGGCTGCGCAGGGAGGCCGCCCGGCTCCGCACCTCGGCCCACGTCAGGTAGGACGGGATGGGTTCACCTCGGAGAGCGGCCAGCACCGGGGACCCCCGGCTGCCTCCTGGCTGCAGAGCCACCGCCGCAGGAACCCCGTGTCCGCAGGAGCTCCGGCTTCTTCCCAGCACGCCCGGCTCCCTCCTGCCCCGCAGGCTCGTGTCGGGGACCGCCCTTCGCGGGATCTCCCGTGCCCCCGCTGCGGAAGGTGCCCGGGTCCTGGCCTCCTGCCCCGGGGCCAGGCGCTGGGGCTGCTCGGCGGGGCCCGCAGCGGCTCCCGCGGGCTGCTCTCAGGCACAGCCGCTAGATGGGGCCAGGCCTCGGCGGTGCCGCTCGCGCCCGCAGCCCGTGCATGCCGGCAGCGTGAGTCCCGGGCTCCTGCTCCCTTCTCTCTCCGGGGGCACGGGAAGCCAACGCTTTCCCATCCCGTGTTCCCCAACCTTCACCTTGCTCCGTGGATGGGGAGATGTCGGCACGTGAAAGGTGCTCCTGGTGTGTGGGACTGGAGATGCTGCCCAGCACACAGCTGGGAGCGTCCTCATGTCCTAGGTGGGCTCCAGGGATATGCGTGGCCGGAGATCCATGGCTGGCTCCCAACCCAGGCACCTGCCCGCATCTCTCCATCTGCACGTGCTGGGTCATTGCACATCTGATCCCCGCTTTCCACATGGCCACATGCCCGCTCCCAGGAGCTGCCCCATCCAGTCCTGCCCGCCGGGAGCTGCCGCAGCTCGCCTGGCAGCACCCAGCACTGATGGCCCCCCTCATCCCCAACCACCAGGACCAGCATGGAGTCGGCCGAGGCGCTGTACAATCAGCTGGAGGAAGAGCTTCATGACCTGGTGTTCCAGTCCAACAGCTCCCTGGAGCGCCTGGAGTTCCTCCGGAAGGTGCGGGAGCTGGAGGCTGAGTTCAGCAAGGTGAGGTGGCCCTGCTCTGGGTGCAGCGGGATGCATTGTCCTCTGCGGTGCTCCCGCAGCTGAGCACTTCGGGCGCGTTTCCCTGGGGTTTGCTGGTGAAGGAAGCCCGGAGAACAACAGGATTGCCCGAGCTTTGATTTTCATTAGAGGCGAGCGGGGCGGGATGCTCCGGTGGGGAAGGAAGGGGAGGTGCTGCTGACCCCGCTCTCTCTTGCAGCTGGGGCTGTGGCTGGACGGGGAGGCAGCGGCGCGGCTGCAGGAGATGGGTGCTGAGGAGTGGAGCCCCGAGAGCTTCCTGGGGTCTGACGAGCAGTTCAACGAGTTCCTCGCCCAGGCAACAGTATGTTCGAGAGGGCTTTTCTGTAACACGAGACCCTGGGGCAGCTCCGGGCCCTGCCTGGTGCTGGGCAGACGTCACCAAATTAGAAACATTTGAATGTCGTAACAGAGCTGGATGGGATCAGCCCAAACCCCCAGCTCTGGCAATCGCGGCTGTGCCCAGGCTGGCCGGGTGCAGGTCAAGCTGCAGTCTTCAGGCCCCACTTTACCAGGGTCTTTGGGCAGCCTTGTTCCAGTGAGAGGGGAGCTGTGTGGCTCCTGGGTGCGCTTTGGGCTGGGGATGCTGTCCCCAGCCCCTGCCGTGCTCTGTCCTTCACAGCCCCCTTCGTCTCGCAGAGCCTGGGTGTCCATCAGACAGCAGATAATGTGGTGCCAGGCTTTTGTTCATCCCATAGCCCGCTGGCTGCATGCACCGCAGGGAGGATGAGGCAAAGTGACTCCACTTGGGACAGGGTGATGCACTTGGTGCGTTCTGAGGCGAGCAGAGCTCAGGCTCAAGGACAGAGCTCAGAGCTCCGCTCAGGACAGAGCAGAGCTTTGGAGAGCCTGGTTCTATTTGCTGCTTCTCGCCCAGAAACATTTGCAGTGCGGCCCTGGTAGTGCCACCAAATGATCTTCATCATATCCTGCTCGCCCATCCCATCGTGGGGTCAGCGCCGTTCCCGAGCATGGAGCTTGCTCTTCCCTCCTGTCCCTGCAGGCTCAGTACCGGCACGGCCTGGTGCTGTGTCAGGAGGCAGCTGAGGTCCAAGGCGCAGCTTTCCCAGAGGCAGACCTCTTCCAGGCGGCCGTGGCCCTTTTCCGGACGAAGCTGACGAGCTTCCACAGGCAGGTGGAACGGCGCCAGGCGGAGCGGGAGCTGCTGCGGGACCTCGGATGCTTCTCCAGCAAGGTGGGAGCTCGGGCTCTGCTCCGGGGGGAGCCGGCGCCGTGGCGCAGCCCGGGCATGGCCACACTTCCCTTCTGTTCCAGATCGCGGGGCTGAAGCTGTGCTGCGGGCAGTGCCCGGGGCGGGGGAAGCGCGAGGAGGGCCGGGCGCTGCAGGGCCTGCAGAGCTCCTTCCAGAAGCTGTTGGTGGAGTTCGCCCTGGAGAAGCTGCAGGAGATGAAGGCTCAGGTGCGCAGGATGCGGAGCAGCCCCGCGCTGGCAGCCTGGACCGAGGCACGGCACCGGTACCAGGAGACGCGGCAGGTCCTGGAGGAGATGCTGGCAGAGCTGCAGGAGGCCTGGGGAGCTGAGGCCGAGGGGCACGGAGGCTCCTTCAGCTGCCCCGGCTCGGGGTCTGCTGCCCCTTGCGAGGGAGCTCCTGAGCCAGCGGTGCCAGGGGAGCAACCAGAGGCCGGTGCCGGGACAGGACAGCCCCGGGCCAGCAGCGCTCCCAGCCCCTCACTGGGTGCGGAGCCAAGTTCCCCGCAGCCCCACGGCCATCAGGGGCCGGAGGGTGATCCTGCCTCTCACCACTGCGCCTCTGCCAACACCTCCCTCCCCAAACCCGAGAGCGGAGCCTGCCCGGGCGCTGCAGGACTCACCCACAGCAGCCGGGTCCTCCAGAGACATCCCCTCACAGCGCCGGCCCGGGCGCGTCTTCCAGGCACCGACCCCCCGTGTCCCGCGGCCGTGCCCCCCGGGGCCGGCACACGTGGTCCATCCGCCCATAAGCGGGCAGAATACTTCCAGGTTTCCAGCCAGAGCAGCTTCTCCTCTGAGGACTCCGACTCGCAGAACTCCACCGAGGACGCCCCAGCACCGAGCCTGGCCTTGTCCTGGGACCTGCAGAGCCCGAGACCACGTTGCCCCCCCGAAAAGCCCTCCCAGATCATTTACCTGGAGAACCACCACACCGAGAGTCCAGCTAAAGCAAATGCCAAGTAAGCAGTCCCAGTCAGGGCTGTTTCTGCCCAGTGGTTGAGGTATCCATCACCAGCTGGATGGGACATCCCATGCTCGGAGGTGGGGTCTGCTGCTGTTCCAGCATCCTTCAGTTTCCTGTCCTTTTTCTCACCCCACCGTGGTGCAGCACTGACTTCATGGCTACGAGGTCTGTTAATACTAATAGCTGTGTAGTAACCCTCACCTAAAGTGCACTTACCTCTACAAGCAGTTCCTGGAACAGCGGTTCCCCGCAGGCAGGAGCCAGGCTTGGAGCATCCATGGGGAGCACAGATGTGGGCTGGGGTGCACTGATCCCATGCAGTTTGCCTGTCCCTGCACCGCTGCTGCAGCCCTGGCCAGGTGACAGCAACAGGCATTTTGTGCGTGTGCTCTCGTTGACATGGGACTAACGATATTAACGCTAATAAACCCGAAGAGAAGCACCCGCTGTGGTCCTTGTGTCCTGCAGAGAGCCAGGCACTGGGCTGCTCGCCCAGGCTCCAGGGCCAACAGCAGCCAGTGCCATGGCAAAGCCTCCCGGTGCTGCCGCGCAGCTCTGCCCGCAGCCCGGCTCTGCTGCCAGCATCCTGCTGCCGGCTGGATGCTCCTGCTCACACCGCTGCTGGCTCATCCAGGCCCTGCCTGGGGGTTAAACGGGGGTTAAATGGGGGTTAAATGGGGGTTTAATGGGGGTTAAATGCCTCCGTCTCCCGTTCTCACTCCCATCCTACCCCCTCCCCAGTACACGCGAGGGTGGTGTCTCCTGCCCAGCCTCCCCACTCACTGGGAACGCGCTGTCCCAAAGCCTCGGGGGATCTGGCTGAGCTGGGAGCGACTTCATCGATCCATAACCATCCAAACCAGCCCCAGGTCCCCGGGGATCCCAGCCCCCCGGCGCATCCCGCCTGTTTGGGCTGGGATGCTGGGATGGGGACAGGCTGTGCAGGCGCCACCCCCCGCCGGCAGCTCACAATGAGCTAATCGAGGGACACTGGAGAAGAAGCAGCATCTCCTGCAAAGGCCACTGCGAAAACACTCCCCTCCTCCCAGGCACGGCACGGTCATGGCTCGCGGCCCTGTGTGATGCTGCTCCTCGGCAAAGGGCACTTGCCCATCCCAGTGCTCATGAGCATCACTCATACCCCCCTCAGCCTTGTTTGTGCCAAATCTCCAGGCCAAGCCCCACTGAGCCCCCCTCGGAGGCTGCGGTCCCAGCACCCCCAAGCCTGTGCTCCTGCCCAGGTCATTAGCACAGTATTAATGAAGGCTGATCCCAGCTGCTCCCCAGGCTGGGGACCTCCTGCCCCTCACTTCTCCCAGTCCTACTCACTCTGCTCTTTGCTCCTTACAGTTTTCAAACCTGCTCCAGCACAAGCCCCAGCTTCCCTGGCAGCACTTCTATCACTGCTTGACTGAAATCCCAGTGTCTGAGTCCCATGCCATCCACCCGAGCATCACTGCTCCCCATCCCCACTCCATCCATCCACATGTCCCTGCTCCCCAGCCCCCCACACACTGGTGAAATCCGTGCCCATCTGGATGGCACCCAGCTCACTGCAAGACTGCAAGTCTGTTCTACCTCCAAAAGCATTTAAATCCCAGCCTGGCAGTTCCATTTTCTGCTCTTCCAGCAGCTGGTGTGCTCTATCATCCCATTACACTCTTGCCTCTGCAGCGCGCTGAAGCAGCAGCACACCTCCAAATTCCTCTTTGGACAACAACTTTCTTCTGGCATTTCACAAACTCTTGGCTTTGCAAGGCCTTGTTAGGGGCTGAGCTCAGCCCTGCGACCAGCACAGCACACACATCCCAGCCGGGGTCCGTGCCGGTGCCGCGCGGGCTGGACACATCGTCCATGTTAACTCATGTCCCTGGGAAAAGGCTGACCATGCTGGTGAGGAGCTGCATCAGCTTGCTCAGCACCAGGACGGGGAGCATCCCTCCCGCTGCTCCTGCCATGTCCAGGGAGTTCAAAGGGTGTTCAAGGCCAGGCTGGACACAGGGGCTTGGAGCAAGCTGCTCCAGTGGAAGGGGTCCCTGCCCGTGGCAGGGGTTGGAGCTGGAGGAGCTTTAAGGTCCCTTTCAACCCAAACCATCCATGGTTCTAGGATTCTAAATAGGTATCAAAAATGAACCACTGTGCACACTGAACAAGAGCAAGGAAGAGGGATGAGAACAGTATTGCCATCATTGCATGCAAACCCCTGGCTGCGCTGTCACTGGCTGAGCATCCCCATCCACAGCTGAGGCTGCCTTTCATGGCTCTGCGATGCTCCTGGAGTCACAGCGCTGCCAGGCTGGGAAGAGGCTAAAGTGCTAATCAATACTTTTGTCATTTGGGGGATTGATTATTCTAATTCCTTCAGGAGCCGTCCAGCCAGGCTGCGAACAGAGCTGCTGGTGCCAGCCGGATCGGGATCGCGTTTATCCCATCCTATCATTCAGGAGATGAAACCTCTCCAGCGGCCATGAGTAAAATGTCATTGATTCCAAAGTGCTTTGCCTGTTTATAGGAATAACACCTCCAGTGCCCCAGAGGACAGTTTATGCTTTGCCATTCTCCTGCGCCGTTTCCAGTGGTGATACAAGGTCAGAGGCTGAAATGACCCAAACCTGCGAAGGGTAAAAGTGGCCGGGGCTGAGCCTTGGGCTCGACAGCCGTGTTGGGAAGCTGCCTCTTAACTGGGGCAAGCAAAGTCTGCTTTAGCTTCCACATTGAAATGAATGGGGTGCTCACCACCCTTCATTTGACCTGTGTTTAAATAGCCAGGAGAGCTTTGGAAAAGTTGGGACTTTTTCGGTTTCTAGGAAAGGAGGAACAGCACTTTGCCATGGAGAAACAATCATCTTCCAGCATGGAATTCCAGATGGAATTCAGATTTTCTGACTAAAGCAATGACTTTCCTGTTCTTCTTCCAAAAGAAAAAAAAAAAGGATATTTTGCAAATCCTGAGATTATCTGATAACAGAAGGAGAATTTCCGGCCCCTCGCTGGAGGGTGAAGCGTTTCCTGGAGGAGCCCTTGGCTGCCCCACACCACAGCTGATGCCTCCCACTAAAAAGGGGTTTTGCAACAATATTGCACAATAATTTCCTTATCTGCTGGTCCCTCAGCACGTAATTTATGGCTCCGGGTCTGCCCAATTAAGCTGTAACCTTTCAGGAAAGGCAAGTGCTGGAGTTATGTCAGGGGAACCGCAGCCAGTCCAGCCCCTCGACGGGCTCTGCAATGCCCAGGAAAGGCTTCCTTCCAAAGGAAAAGAGGCAATAACTGATCAATGCAGAAGATGCCAAATGCTGCCTGGAGCCAGGGATGGGCTGTGGGTCTGGGGAGGACCCCAGCTCCGGGCACTGTGCCCCTGTTCTCGAGGGCGGCTTCCCCCCGCAGCACTGAGCAGGCAGCTCTGTCCATCGTTGGCAACTCACAGAACCAGAGTGGTTTGTGTTGGAAGGGACCTGAAAGCTCCTCCAGCTCCAGCCCCTGCCACGGGCAGGGACCCCTTCCACTGGAGCAGCTTGCTCCAAGCCCCTGTGTCCAACCTGGCCTTGAGCACTGCCAGGGATGGGGCAGCCACAGCTTCTCTGGGCACCCTGTGCCAGCGCCTCAGCACCCTCACAGGGAAGAGCTTCTGCCTGAGAGCTCAGCTCAGTCTCCCCTCTGGCAGGTTAAAGCCATTCCCCTTGGCCTGTCCTTACCTGCTGTTGTCCAAAACCCCTCTCCAGGCTTCTTGTAAGCTCTCTTTACTGGAAGACCACTGTCTTCTGCTTCCTCTTCATCCTCCTCCTCACTGCCAAGTTCCCATCAAGCCCTGCCCTCCAGACTGTGGGGGCAGGAGAGACACTGAGATCAACCACAGTGACATGGAGGGAAGGGGAAGGAAGAAATGGGCTGGACAAGAGGCACTGGGGCAGCCACGCTCCCAGCCAGAGCCGTGGCCCTGCCCTCACCCGGGTAAGGAGACTGGCACAGGTGATGGGTGGCACAGGAACAACCACAAACAGGACATGAACCCCCCGTCAGGGCCCCCATCAGCTCTGGTGCCAGTGGAGCTGCCACGGGCCCCTTCCCGTGATGACAGCTCCTGGCACGGGGCTCAGCCGCAAACAGCCACGGGCGTTTCAAAGTGCAGGATGAAGACTTGGCCCCGGCGCAGAGGAAACACCATCGTGCCTGGATCTGCCCTCCCGGGGGTGACCGGGACACCGGGTTCCAGCAGGTAAACAGAGGGAGCCCTTGGGGCAAGAGGCTGAACAACCACAACGTGAAGCAACATCCTTGGCTTCACCAGGGGGCTGGAAGCAGCTGCAGGCACAGGTGTCCCAAAGCAGCTTCCTTATCTCCAAGCTCCTGCTCCAACAGAGCAAACTCAGGTCTCAGCCATCATCAAGCTCCTGGGGAGCTGCGGGGTGGCCATAAGAAATGAACCCCCAAAGAAAGGAGCAATGCCTTGGAACTGGTTTTCCTTTGGGAAAACAGGAAGGGTGAAAGGTAGCGCCAAAGGGTCGAGCTCCAAGGGTGGATGGTAAGGGCAGTGTGCTCCGAGGCGGGCAGGGCTGAACCCCAGCTCTGCCCCATCCCGAGGGACTGCTGGAAAACACCAGTGTGACGGCGCTGACAGGACAGGCAGGCGGGGACCACGGGAAGCGCATCCCTCGCGTGTGAGCCCTGTGGGAATCACAGCCTCAGGCACTGACATCCGGACCCGTGCGCTCACCCAGCAGCCCGCGCACGCGATGCACCATGCTGGGAAGCGCAGACCCCTCTGGGTTCCCTCCCACGACACCCACCGGGGCCTGTCCGCAGCCGGGCGGTGGAACCGGCACCACGGGAGCAGGGGAGCTGGGTGGGGTCCAGAAAACTGCTGGGAAATGACACCGGGAGACTGGAATTCAGCTCACGCCAGGTTCAACCCGCTCAGGCTGCCAAGCGCCTTATCCCTGCTCACAGCTCCCCTGGCAGCACCCTCCTGTGCCCAGCAAGGGACAGGCCTCACACCCACCCTGGGGCCACTGGCACTCATCTCCTCTGGTCGCATCACTGCTGCTGCCCGCAGGTACCTTTGCCCTGGGGCTGTGGGATGGGGCTGCCTCATGCCTGGACCAGGGCAGTGGGAAAATCCTGCCCCAGCTCTCAGGAAAGGATTTATCATGAGACCCGGGAGGGGTTTGTGGTTCTCTTGAATAAAAGCACAGACTTGGCCCAAGAACAAGGATGGGGTGTAACAAATTCCTCCTCAGCTCCGCTCAGAAACACCTTGCCCCAGGGCTGTCCCCACAACCTGGTTATTGGCCTCTGCCCCTCTGGGTGATGCTGGTTCAGCTCCTTGGCTCTGGCCATTTCTCAGGAGCAGCCCCTGTTTTGGTGCATGCCGAGTGCCATGAGCCAGTGCCATGAGCCAGCATCTGCCACCACCAGCACATCCCTCCTTGTGAGCAGAGGATGCTGCAACCACGCCAGGACACTTCCACCAGACTGCAGCACGGGAGCACACCGGGCTGCCTGGACCCGGCTGTGGGGCCAGCTGGGAAAGCCATCTGCTTCTCCTTGGAAAAGCCACTCCTCCCATAGGAAAAGCTCCTCGCTCCACGTGCGGTGTCCTCACAGACCCTGTCTGCCACCACTGCCCTCGGTCGGTCCCTCCAGGTACGAGCAGCTCAGGTTTACCCCAGGGCTGTGCAGTATTTTCCATGCTCACAGATCAGAGCTCCTCCAAGCTCCGGTGCGGGAGGGGTCACTGCCACATCCCAGTGCAGGATCCCTGTGGTCAGCCACGAACGCTCCCACCGGCCCCGTCATCATGGGCAGAAATGTCTTTCTCACCCTTTCCCCGGGGTCCCGGCCCAGCCCTGCTGGCCCCATTCCGGATCCATCCCCAGCACCAAGCAGTTCAGGGATGGGATAACGCCGGGGTCCCCACCGAGGACTGCAGGTGCCGAGGGCTGTGTGCAAGGTGAGGAGCAGCCGGGTCCCCCGTCCATGCCCTCGGAGCACTCCGGGGCGGGAGCAGCGCCGGCAGCGGGCGGCTCGGAGCCGGTGACAGGGAAGACTCTGTCCCCGCTGAGCGTTGTTTATCTGCCGGCACAAGAGCCTGAGTCAGGACGTGCGGGCGCTGCCGGCTCCCGGCACACACCCAGCAAAGCAAACACGGGCTCTGCCGAGCGGGGCCGGGGGGGCAAAGCCAGCGCTTTGAAGCGGCTCCAGGACGGGGTGGGTGCGAGGGGAGGCGCAGTCCTCGGCCCGGCACCTTGAGCAAATGAGGTATTTTGGGCATCCAGCAGCACAAACACCCTCTGAATGCAACCCTGTCCTACCGGGGAGAGTAAAAATAGCACCGCCGGTGTGGCTGGCCGTCCGTGGGCAGCATTTCCCAGGGCCTGAGCAGACAGATGCGTCTGCATAGGTAGTGGACACTAAAACTGGGAACAAGGGAGGCTTCCCCTCGCTGAGGTGCTGGGATACCCCCGGGGACAGCCGGGCACTCAGCCCCTGCCTCTCCTGACAGGATGCTGGAGCAGGGACAGACGGTTGTTTGCGCTCTGTGCTTGGCCAGAAAACAACAGAAGTGAGTCCCTGCAGGCTGAGCAGCACCAGCACCTGACTCACATGGTCCCAAACACCCCAACACGCCTCACAGCAACGAACCGCTCCTGCTGCTGATGCGAGTGGGAAGAGCCTCCTCGCAATGGCTCTGCAGCAGCCGGTGCCATTTTGGACCGTGTGCTGCACGTTACCGATTAAACACGTCCCGTCTGGGCCACGAGGCCAAGTGTGCACACCAAGCACATCCAAGTGTCACGCAGGGTAAGGAAGCACGGGCTTGTACAGACAGAGCCAGGCCCTGCACCCTCCAGGGTGAGCCCGAACACAGCAGCACATCACCACAAAGGCTCCTGTACTCGGGAAGCAGCGCTGGGAGCGAGGCCAGCTCGGGGCTGGCAGAACCAGCTGCTGGTGGGGCTGGGGGATCCACGGCCCCCAGCCCTCCCTCGGCCCCGGCAGGGCAGGGGATGCCTGTGCCCCTGGTGCCCAGCACGGTGGAGCAGTGCATGGACAGCTTCTGCATTACCACCAGCTGCCCCAAGCTTGCCCCCAGGGGGGTTTTGCTGCACTGGCTCCAGCCTCCCCCACAGGTGGTGATGCAGGAGCAGCCCCCGGCCATGGCTGCGGCACCGGCATCAGCTCAGCTCCTTCCCAAGAGATGCTGCCCTTCCAGAGCCCCCCTGCCATAACAGGGCAGCACTGCTGCAAAATCAGCCATGTGCCCCCATAGCATGACCCACACCGGGAGTGCCCAGCGCATGGGGCTTCTCTTGGGTGTCTGCTCTCAGCATGCTCAGACCTTGCTGTGACTGCACCCATGGAGGTGTGGGGTCTCTGCCCCTGCTGGGCAGTCCCACACATGTCAGGTCACCCTTGGGGGGCACAGGGAGGGACAGGCCAAGGCAGGCGGTCCCAGGGGGTACCAGTGGTGGTTCCATGGGGCCAGAGACCCGTGGCTGATGCGGGGGGTGAGAGCTGCTGGGGGAAGCATCAGCCCCTGCTCCCCGCTCACCGCCCCACAGCACCGGGCCCTGGAGCAACAGCAAGGTTTGCAGCACGTTTTTCCATCAGTTTCCAGCACACTTCCCTCTGGCCACTGCGTCTTTTAGGGATGCGTTTACGGGAAGAGGGACGCCGCTGCAATCCCGAGCAGCTGTATCCGTGCCAGAAATGGCCGGGTATGGAGATAAGGCACGGAGGGAAGGAAACTTTATAAGGAGAAAACATTCCCCAAGCTCTGGCACCTCGGTGCGAACGGCGCAGCCCCTCTCCTCCCTCCGCTCGTTTTCCCCTCCTCTCCACCGGCAGCGGGTCCAGCCCGGCCCGGGGGCGGCGGCGAGGGGCTGCGCCCTGGGGGGGGGGCAGGAACCGGGCGCTTGGGTGGTTTGAATAGGTGGGACCCACGCACGGCGTTTCCTGGAAACCTTGTTTTCCCTTTCTGCCCTCCGCCGTCCCCGGCCGCGGGGGTGTGCGCGGCCGCCGCGTATAAAGGGAGCGAGCGCCGGGCAGGGCGCGGAGGGGCACCGGGACCAGCGCTGGGAACGCGATCAGCACCGGGACCAGGACTCGCACCAGGATCAGGACCAGCACCAGCACCAGCACCAGCACCAGCACAGGGACTATCACTGAGACCGGGACCGGGATCAACACCAGGAGCAGCACCGGGACACCATGGCCGAAGGTGAGAGGGACGCTCCCCCCTCCTCGCAGGTTTCCCGCAGCCGAGCCCGCTGGCACCTTCAGCCGTGAAGCACTGAACTCCCAGCTGGAGCGAAAGGGGAGAGGGAACGGGACTCAACCGGACAAGCGCGGGTTTGTGCAGGGTCTGCTCCAGTCCCTCCCTCCCCTGCGCAGCTCCAGAGCGCCGGCGGTATTTGCACAATGAACTTCGGTGCTATTTAAAGCTGTCAGTGCTAACGGAGGCGAGGGGGCAGCGGGAGCGGGGACGTGTGCTACGTCCCACCCTGGTTTAAGGAGGGTTTCTGGAGGCTCAGTCAGAAGTAGCGCTGCTGTCCCACAAATACCTCCAGGAGGGCGGGTTTCCGGAGCTGGGGCGAGGGGCAGAGGCACTCCCCGGCCTCCCAGAGCCGCCTCCGAAGCTCCAGGACACGGCTGAGTGACACCGGTGGGCATGCAGCCCTCGGGGGAGACGGCATCGCCCTGCCCCGATGCCCAGCCCTGTCTGGGGTGCCCGGGGCCCCTCTGCCCCCTGCACGCCCGCATCCCGGCACGGATCAGTTTGGGAGGAGGCACCTGCACTTTAAAATCTGCTCTTTGCTGAATCCACTCGGGACGATAACCCTGGGACGAGGAGGAGCCCCGGTTCCGCTCTCTGACCACACTCATTGCAGCGCGCTTGGCTGTCAGTGAGGTTTATGCTCACACAGCTCATGTGCAGTAGTAGCACAGTCCTGCTTCTGCCTACCAAGAGAAGGGAACTCCCTGTGCTATGTCCCTACTCCAGGGTCCCTATGGACCGGCTGGAGGGACCTTGCCCTTATTTATGGCCAGTCCCACTGTCACAGCAGCTCTCACAGTGCAGTGGGGACTGGTGATGGGCCCGGCTGCACACTGCGGGTTCCCCATGCATGGAGAGCTGGAGCAGGGCTTTCATTTAGCTCTGGAACAGTGATGCCAGGGCAGCTGTTTCCATCTGGCAGCGGCCCGAGGAGGGCTCAGGGACCACCACTGCTGGCACCGGGAAGAGCTCAGCCAGGGAAAGCCATGGCTCGGGGGCGATGAGCCGAGCATCGCCCACGGTCAGCACCGAGCTCCCCGTGTGCCCTGCGCTGACCGCTTCTGCTTATCCTGCCGGCAGAGCCTCCCGGGGCCACGGGTCCTGAGCGACAATGAACAGCATCACAGCGCCTGGGGCGGTGGGACGCGGCTGGCAGCCGCTCCGGCGTGCAGGGCTGGGAGGCAGAGAGCTGGGACCGGCAATCAAACACCCTCCTTGCCACCGGATTTACAGCCGGTCTCGCCACTTGGTCAGCGGTAAATAGAGCAGGAACAGCAGTAACAGGGCAGTCACAGGGCACGCTGCCAGAGGGCTATCAGAAGCATCCCTGGCATTTTCCATCTCAGCAGCTCTCATTTGGTTTGGGGGCTTTGCTCCAGTGCAGGATGCTGGGAGCCACAGAGCTGGAACAGCTTGGGCAGCACACGGAGCCCATCCTAGGGGGTGATACTGTGGAGGGCAGCACCGTGGAGCAAGAAATAGAGCCCAGAACTCGGCTGGGAGGGCAGCTCCAAACCCCAGCACCAAGGCCCGAACCCCGGGGTAGGGGGCCATAGCGATCCTGTCTGCCAGCACCGGGCACAGGGAAGATCTGAACCTGCTGCTGCCTTTGCAGATCTGGTGCTGGAGACGTGGGACCTGCAGAGCGAGCGCAACGGGCAGGAGCACCGCACGGCGGAGATGTGCGGGCAGCAGCTGGTGGTGCGGCGCGGGCAGCCCTTCACCATCACCCTGCGCTTCTCGGGCAGGGCCTATGAGGATGGGGTGGACAAACTGGCCTTCAATGTGGAGACAGGTGAGTGGCACCATGCCCCGACCGAGCTGCCCCGGGATCACAGCGCTGCACGGGGGCACCTGCCCCATCTCACAGCCCCTGTCCCCCCATCCCAGCCCAGTGCTGAGCATGGCTTTTGTACCAAGGCAGCTGAAGGGAAGCAATACATACACCAAAAAGCCTCCTCTCCCCGTGGCCAAGCCAGGCGCAAGGCTGCACCACATCTCTCACCCTGCTGAGAAACACCAGCAAAAGCAAATCTTTTCAGGAACAGGATTTTTGCCGAGGGTCTCCTGACACAGCCGCCCCAGCCCCCATCACTCAGACATCCCCAGACCAGTCTGCTCAGGAAACAGAAAATCTGGAGTATGGAAATGTTCCCACTGAGCCCCCCAAGCACCTGGCCTTGCTGCAGCCCCCGAGTGGTGCAAGAGCTGGTACCCAGGAGCAGCATCCAGTGGCTCCCTATGGCCCCACTTTAGGGGCTTCTCCTGCTGCAGCCCCAGTGGCAGCAGTGACATCTGGGACTGCTCCTGTGGCCAGAGCTGGGCACAACCAGCGGGCAGGGGCTTGGCCTCCGCCAGCTCAGGGCACAGGGGAGATGAAACTCTTCCTTGGGCAATAGTTATTTTGGGGCTGCAGCCAGGCCAGAATGCAAAGTGAAACTGCTCCTGGGTTTCCTCGCTCCAGTCCCACCATGGGGTGACAGACATGAACCTGAACCTAAACCAGCAGCTCCCTGTTGCCTCCAGTGCCAGAGCAGCCATGCAGGGCTCTCTGCACTGTGACAAGGTCGTGCTGCATCCCAGGCAGTCCCAAGCTGGTTTTGCAAGTGGGAAGCCCCGTTGTGCAACGGGGGCAAAGGTGCTTTGGCTCTCACACAGGCGCATGGTGCCACACCGGAGGTGATCCCAGCACATCCCATCCAATGCCAGACCCACAGGCCCATCGGGTCAGGGGCTGCCAGGCCTGCCCCCCCCCCCCCCCCCCGCCCCAGACAGTGATGCCACTAAGCCAAGTGCCACCTCCCACAGCAAAGAGAGGAAGGGCTCCGTGCAAGAACAGAGCCCGTATTTCTAAGGCGGTGCTTGAAGAGCCCTGCTCAGGCTCCTGGGGCCCTGCAGGGATGCTGCTGGCTTTGCAGGCAGGGAGGGGGGAGCCAGGGGGAGGAAGAGGAGGAGGAAGAGGCAGGTCTCCATGGCTGCCCATCCCCATGACGGCTCCAGACTGGCCTTTGCTCTAAGGACGGGGTTTGCTCAACTCGGCCTCCCCAGAAGGAGAAACTGTGTCACTCATGAGTTCATCAGTATTTTTGGTGCCTCGCTGGCGCCCGGCCCACGCTGCGGCCAGGGCTGGCAGGGGACCCGCCCCGTGTCTGCCCGGGCGAGGGGAGCAGCAGCGCCGCGGCCCCGGCCGGCTCTGCCCGCGCACCGGCACCGCCGGGAGCCGCGCTTGGCCGGGGCCGGGGCCAGCCCCGGAGCAGGGCTTGGAGCCGGCGGGGCGCAGGTGGCTTGGACGGGCGCAGGGATCGCGCTGTCCTCGGCTCCCTCCAGCGCTGGACACTGATGTAATCCCCACGTCTGCAGCAACGCCTGAGGCGGTGCGCACGGAGCGGGGCCCCTGCCGAGAGCACCCCACGGACGGGCTCGGGGGTTGGGTCCGGGGGTGCGGCAGGAGCGGAGTGCACGGGCACGGGGAGCTGGCAGCTCCCCGCTGAGCACCAGGGGCTGTGCTCTCTGGCCCTGGAGCACCCGTGGGGAGAGGCCCTTGCTCTGTCCCTTCCCAAACAGCAAGGGACACACAAGAGCTTCCCACGGCCGGGCTGCCCGCGCCCCAGTTCCTGACAAACCGAGCAGCAAACGTGCCCGGCTCCAGAGCACACGTCAGGGCAGGCACCACGGGCTGGAGAGGGCACGGCAGTACCATGGGGTGCTTATGGGGTGGGTCCCCTTGTGCAGCACGCATGGTGCGGGGCTCCCAGAGCCCCTGGAGCACCGGGAGAGCTGACCTTGTGCTTTCCTGGCAGGACCCTGCCCCATCGAGACGTCGGGAACCAGGTCCCACTTTGCCATGACCGACTTCCCGGAGGAATCGGGCTGGAGCGCCGTGATGCAGCAGCAGGACGAGGATTCCCTCTCGGTCTCTCTCTGCTCCCCCACCAGTGCCCGCGTTGGCCGCTACAGCCTGACACTGGAGGCCTCCACAGGGTACCAGGGCTCCAGCTACATCCTTGGGGACTTTGTGCTGCTCTTTAACCCCTGGCACCCAGGTGAGGCGTCACCTCCAATGCTGGAGGTTCCCACATGAGCATCCCTGTGCACCTTCCACTGCTGCAGACCAACAGCGCTGCCCTGAGCTCGGGTCCAAGCAGAAACCCGCACTTTGCTTCAACCTCCACGTGGTCCCTGCAGCAGGTCGGGGGCCTTGAGCCCCGTCCCCCACCCCAGGACCCGTGCAGCCCCTTTGCCAGCACCCAAACACGCAACGCCGCATCCCAGCAGCCCCAGGGCCCCGCAGGAACTCACCTCTGCAGTGCTGATGCCAAGCCCTGAGCAGGCGCCGGCAGCAGCTCCTGGGTGGGTGGGCGGATGAAAAGCCTCATTGCCCTAATTGCTCCTAATTGCCCTCACTTGTCCTGGCCCCACCAGCGCCGGGTGGAGCCCCCGCTGTGTGCTCAGGGACCAGCACTGGGTGTTCCCCAGTGTCAGTGACCCGGTGGAACGGGGGCGTCCTGACAGAAGGGCAGCTCAGAGCTGCAGGTTTAAAGGTCCTGGGAAAGAGCCAGCGGGGTTTCCATCTATCCACATCCTTCCTGTGCCCCGGGAGGCCGCCCGGTGCTCCCACCTCTCCCGGCCGGTTTCCTGCATCCCAAACGCTCCGAGCTGGCTCCACAGAGATAAGGGGCTTTAGGAAGCTTCGCTTGCCCAGGGCTGGTGCTGGGGTGCACGTTCTGGGCTTTGTTCTGGAAGCACTTCCAGTAAATGGGGTTTTCCCAGCAGTAACGGCTGTGCTGCGATCCCAAACAGTGCTCCTGGTTCCCATTGCTAACTTCTCCCACCAGGGAGGTTTCCCCCCTGGGAAAAGACCCGACTCCATAAAACAAAAGTGAGGAAAGAAAGCGAAAGAATGGGACAGGAAAGCACAGGCCTGATGACAAGTTCCTGTCCTCAGATCAAACTGGACTGAAATTCTCCAGAAGCGTTTTCAGACGGGAGCATTTCCAGCCCCTGTTGCCTCATTTCCCAACAGCTCCATCCCCAGTCACTGCCCAGCACAGCCCTGGGGGGGATGACCCTGCGCGGGGCCGGGGGGCGCGAGGCAGGGCCCTGTCCCCATCTCTCTCTCCCCCACAGAGGACACGGTTTTCCTGCGGGATGAGGACGAGCGCCGCGAGTACGTCCTGTCCCAGCAGGGGCTCATCTACCAGGGCACCCGCGACTACATCACCTCCACCCCCTGGAACTTCGGCCAGGTGAGCGGGACGGGACCCCCCTGGCCAAGCCCAGCTCCATCCCTGGCACTGCAGAACGTGGGGGCTGGAGCCCCCCAAAGGCAGCGCCCTGGGAGGATCCAGCCCATCCGTGGGACAAGCAAACCGAGATCTTGTTTCCAAGAGGGGCGCGCTGAGTTCAGAGCGGGCAGCGCGAGGGAGCGTCCCTGCAGCTCCTATCGGAGCTGTGCCAGGAGCCGGTGCCCGATAACGCTCCGGGCGCGGTGCCGGCTGCACCGATAAGGCAGCGCCAATGAGGCAGCGCCTGCGCCCCGACTGCAGCCCCCCATTGCTGGGCCCCAGTGCAGGGGAGCCCCGGACACCTCCCTGAGCTCCAGCTGTGCTGTTGGGAGCCAGGGGTGCTCATGGGATCCGTCAGGGAAGGGCCGTGAGTCACCACCATCGGTTTTCCTGGAGGTCAGGTCCATGCCTGATTCCTGCCTGGTGGCTGCAGGAAGCAGGATCCAGCCCCTGGCCTTGGGCTTCGCAGTGGAGCCTCCACCACCGTGGAGGCAGGAGAGCCCCCGTCACCATGGGGACCTCACACACCTTTTCTCCCTGCTCTGCACCAGTTCGAGGATGAGATCTTGTCCATCTGCCTGAAGCTGCTGGACACAAACCCCAAATTCCTGAGGGACCAGAACAAGGATTGCTCCCGCCGCAATGACCCCGCATACATCGGCAGGGTGGTGAGCGCCATGGTGAGTCCCGCCACAGCCTCTCCCTTGCTCTTGCATCCCATAAGTGTGTAAAGCCTTTTAAGAGGAGAGAATCAGCAGAAGTGGGCACACACCACCCAGGGAGCAGCCTCTGCTCCGCACTGGTGGCTGCAGGTGGCAGACACAGCCAGACTCCCGGGCAGGAGGACGTGCCTGTAAAATCCATCCCCACTCAGTGAACCCAGTTCTGGCCTCTCCATCCACCTTCCTATCCCCTGTGCAGCCCCAGCACACTGGGATGCAGGCGGCTGCAGATGAATGCACCACTGCACTCTCTTGTACCATGGCTGCGTGCATCCCAGGGAGCTCTTGCAGGGCTGCAGGATGGGGTGACAGCGTGTGTGAGCTGGGGGGGGGCACGGCTCCCCCCTCACCAGCCGGCTCCTGCCCCTCCATTCCCAGCACCCATCCAGCACTTATCCATCACCATCCACCACAGCCTCCCCTGTCCTGCCGCAGGTGAACTGTAACGACGAGGACCGGGGGGTGCTGGCGGGGCGCTGGGACAACCATTATGAGGATGGGATGAGCCCGATGGCCTGGATCGGGAGCGTGGACATTCTCAAGAGGTGGAACAACTTCGGGTGCCAGCCGGTCAAGTACGGGCAGTGCTGGGTGTTCGCTGCCGTGGCGTGTACCGGTGAGAGCAGATGTTCCACATCTCCCCTTCGCCGCAGGAGGGGGTCCCCGCGTCCCCCGGCCCCTGCCCTCCGCTGTGCTGCAGCAGGCGCGGGCGCGGGTTGCCGTCAGCCTGCAGCGATGCTTTGCAGTTCAGCTCTGGGCTGTCAGGAAACGGAGGGAAAAGAAGATAAGGAGGGCTCTGGCTCTGCAATTAGCGCTGCCTGCGGAGGGGGAGGGCTGGAGGCTCCGCGCGGCGAAGGGAAACGGCTTTAAGGTCAAGTTGCGATAGTGCTGAACCCGCCGAGACAAGGGGATTTCACTGCCGCGGGGCACCGGGCAGGGGCAAAAGGGAAGAAACCCCCCAGGGCTGCTGCTGCCGAGCCGTGCGCACGCACTCGCACGGTTCCACTCCGAGCAAAACGAGCACTCGTGGGGCTGCGCTCGTGTGTGGGCGTTCAGACCTCACAGATACACGAGGCCCTTTCTGGGGGACAGGAACAGCAGAAAGCTGCAGTGGGATTGCCGGGCTCGCAGCCGTCTGCAGCGTCCTCTGCAGTGTTACAACCGCCCCTGGCCCTGGGAGCCCCGCGTGCAGCACGAGGCAGCTGCAGGATGCAGTCAGAGGCCGGAGCGCGCTGCTGCCCGCATGGGGTCCTGCATGACTGGGAACTGGCTCGTCCCAGGGCCTGTCCCGGGAAGCCCCACCGAGGGGGAAAGGGAAGGGCAGGAGCTGTGCAAAGCTGGGGCTCTGTGGGACGGCATCCACGTAACCCCAGGGCCCCACCTCACCCTGCCCTGCTCCCGCAGTCATGCGGTGCCTGGGGGTCCCCACTCGGGTGGTGACCAACTACAACTCAGCCCACGACACCAACGGCAACCTGGTCATCGACCGCTACCTCAACGAGACCGGGGAGGAGGACCGGCGCTCCAGGGACATGATCTGGTGGGACCCCCCTGCCCACCCCCGGGGCAGCATTTGCCCCTTCCCTGGAGCCTGATGGGAGAGGCTGAGACCCCTTTGTCCTGGCTTCCCTTGCAGGAACTTCCACTGCTGGGTGGAGTCCTGGATGGCGCGTCCAGACCTGGCACCCGGCTATGATGGGTGGCAGGCACTGGACCCCACACCGCAGGAGAAGAGCGAAGGTACCGCGTGCACCGTGCAGGTGCTCCCGCCAGCCCCACGCTGCGGGGCTCCCCCCACTGCAACCGCATCGGGTGGTGATGGCGGCTCCGGTCCCCGCAGGGGTTTTCTGCTGTGGGCCGGCTCCCGTCAGAGCCATCAAGGAGGGCGACCTGCGCCTGAAGTACGACGTCCCCTTCATCTTCGCGGAGGTGAACGCGGACGTGGTGTACTGGGTGGTGCAGCGCGACGGGTCGCAGAAGAAGAGCATCCACTCCTTGGTTGTGGGGAAGAACATCAGCACCAAGAGCGTGGGCAGGGACAGCAGGGAGGACATCACCCACACCTACAAGTACCCCGAGGGTACGGGCGGCACTGGGAGATGTTGGGAAAAGGAGTGGGGAAATGAATCCTTACTGCAGCTGCAGCAGGGCCATCCCCTCCCTGGAACCACAGTTTTCTGTGCCCTGCAGGGTCTGAAAAGGAGAGAGAGGTGTTTGCGAAGGCAGAGCACGAGACGAGCTCCCTCAGGGAGGAGGACGAGGGCCTGCACCTCAAGATCAAGCTGTCAGAGGGCGCGAACAACGGCTGCGACTTCGACGTCTTCGCCGTGGTGAGCAACAACACGGCCACGGAGCGCGGCTGCCGGCTCCTGCTGTGCGCTCGCACCGCCAGCTCCCGCGGCGCCGTGGGGCCGCAGTGCGGGATGAAGGACCTGCTCAACCTCAGCCTGGAGCCCCACGCAGGTGAGGGACGTGCCCACGGCCAGGGCAGGGCTGGGGCCGGGCCAGCGACGTTCCCGTGTTCAGCTGCAGCCCCGGGGCACGGGGCAGGGACCCCCAGGCTGCACCTCCGGGGGGTTTCCCACGGGCAGGAGGAGCGGGAATGACCCCGGCTCAGCCCGGTCCCCTCCAGGGGAGCTGCGGGCGCCGTTTCGGTGCCAGGAGGTCGCAGCCGCGCTGGGGCTCTCGGTGGCTCCTCCTTGGGTGGCCCCGGCGCTTCCTTTGCCGCAGTCACGAACCGGTGCAGCCGCCTCCTACCTTGGTTTATGTCAGTTTTCCACTGAGCCCTCAGGGCTTGGAAGGGGATCCGCATCCGCTGCCCGCGATCAGCCCCGCTTCAGCGCGGTGCCAAGATCCTCTTAGCCGGGCCAGTGACAAATGCAGTGCTCAGCGCTCCGTGTTCGCTGAGCTGGATTAAGGGAATAACGAATGTCCCTGCTCCACTAAATCCAACATCACTTTCCCTGAAGCTTGAATCCAAGCCCCTGAGGCCTCTCCCCCCAGCTCCTGCCTTGGAATACAGACCCCAGGAACCCAGACTGCACCCCTTAGGGAGCCCCTGCACCCAGCTGGAGCAGTGCTGGACCCATCCCTCTCCATGCAGCCTCAGTTGATGCTGAGCACTTCACATCCTGCCCTGGGAATGTTGGGATTCGCTTCCAGCAGTCACAGCATCCCCAGGGCCCTGCCCCAGGCTCTGCAGCTGCCTCCAGCTGCCTTCCCCCTGCACCCAACAGCCCCGTCCCCAAAGGGCTTTGGGGTAAACACTGCTCAGGGCTGAGCGCAGGAGGCTGCCAGGGAATGGGGCTGCCCACACCGGCTGCGAAGGGCTGGAGAAGCCCCTGGGCTGCCCTCCCCATGGTGCCCCTGCCCCACAGTTCTGCAGGGACCCAGCTCCACCACGACCTGGCGAGGCACATGGAGAAGCTCCTGAGGAGCCCTGAGCACCCCACTGCAGGGCCATGGGTGAGCCCTGACCCCGCTCTGCTTCCCCTCCAGAGAGGAGCGTGCCCCTGCGCATCCTGTACGAGAAGTACGGGGAGAGCCTGACCCAGGACAACCTCATCAAGGTGGTGGCTCTCCTGACCGAGTACCAGACCGGCAACGTCATCGTGGCCATCAGGGATGTCTACATCAAGAACCCGGAGATCAAGATCAGGGTAAGGACACAGGTGGCTTTTGGGGGAGGATTTTTCCTGATGGGGCTGGGCCCAGTGACCAGAGCCCTGGGGCTGGTGCAGCAGGGCCCGCATCCGCAGGGACCTGCATGTGCAGGGGCCCGGCTCAGCCGCACCAGGCTCAGGGCAGGGGGAGCCCCGCAGCCCCCAACCATGGCGGTGCTGGCTCCAACCCCTCCTGCCTGCAGATCTTAGGGGAGCCGATGCAGAACAGGAAGCTGGTGGCCGAGGTCAGCCTGGTGAACCCCCTCGCAGCGCCCCTGCACAACTGCGTGTTCGTGGTGGAGGGCGCCGGGCTCACCAACGGGCAGCGGATCAAGGAGCTGTGAGAGCTTCTCCTTCCCACCGGCAATGGGGGCGGGTGGATTTCTGTGCCCAGAGCCCTCCCCGGAGGGCAGCCCTGGGGCCTGGCTCTGCTATGGGACAGTGGGAGCTGCAGCTGCGCTGGTCCCTGAGGGATGTGGGGGCTCAGAGCAGCTCTGCTGGGGAGGGCCTTGGCCGCACCATGGGGAGCTCGGCTTCCCAGCAATGAAGGCATAGGGAGGGTGATGGGGCACAGGGAGGGTGATGGGGGTACAGGGAGGGTGATGGGGCACAGGGAGGGTGATGGGGGCGCAGGGAGGGTGATGGAGCACAGGGAGGGTGATGGAGCACAGGGAGGGTGATGGAGCACAGGGAGGGTGATGGGGGTGCAGGGAGGGTGATGGAGCACAGGGAGGGTGATGGGGGTACAGGGAGGGTGATGGAGCACAGGGAGGGTGATGGGGGCGCAGGGAGGGTGATGGAGCACAGGGAGGGTGATGGAGCACAGGGAGGGTGATGGAGCACAGGGAGGGTGACGGGGGTGCAGGGAGGGTGACGGGGCACCCCACTGACCCCTGTCCATTCCGCTGACCCCAGCGAGGAGCCCGTGGAGCCGCAGGAGGAGGCCAGGTTCCGGGTGGATTTCGTGCCCCCCCAGGCGGGGCTGCACAAGCTGATGGTGGACTTCGAGAGCGACAAACTGATGGGGGTCAAGGGCTACCGCAACGTTATCATTGCGCCCCAGCCCAAGTGAGCGGCCCCAGGGCACCCGCTGCAGAGACCCTGCACCCCCAGCCCGGGGCTCGCCGGCCCCCAGCTCGCTTTAGCTCAAGCCGGTCCCAGCGGTGGGAGGACGGACGATGGCCAAAGCCCAGCCCAAAGCCACGGCTCTGGGTGCTGCAGGAGAGGGGAACCGGGGGCACCAGCCTGGGCGCAGCAGAGACCCCCGAGCCAGCCCCTTCCTTCTCCTCCTGCAGCACCAAGAGCCCCGGCCGCAGGGCGGATCTCATAAACCAAAGAGCAGAACAGCCCTCTCCAGCACTGATGGCACCTCTGTGTGCTCACACGTGCCGTTGCAATCCTCTGAATGCAGTCGGTACAGAAAGATTGTACACTGTGAGCACAAAGCTGTTTATATGCTACATACATAACAGAGCTATTTATAGCTCTAGGAATATATACTGCATATAACCTACTGCATAGGTAAAGCAAGGTATTGGCTTCAATAACCGTTCCTGTCGCTGCAGCCATTGTGCAGTGAGGGATGGGACGTTACCTTGACATGAGTTAACTGTGCAAGCACTGAATAAAAACTCTATTTTTCACTTTTAAAGGCAGACCTGGCTCTTCCTGAGCACCCCCTCGATCAGAGGCACCAGCAGCTCCTCACCCAGCACCCAGAACCACACAGAACCACAGAATGATTTGGGTTGGAAGGGACCTTAAAGCTCCTCCAGCTCCAGCCCCTGCCACGGGCAGGGACCCCTTCCACTGGAGCAGCTTGCTCCAAGCCCCTGTGTCCAACCTGGCTTTGAGCACTGCCAGGGATGGGGCAGCCACAGCTTCTCTGGGCACCCTGTGCCAGCGCCTCAGCACCCTCACAGGGAAGAGCTTCTGCCTGAGAGCTCACCTCAGTCTGCCCTCGGGCAGCCCCAGCGCACAGAGAGCCTCGAGGGGCAGCGGGACCCGAAGGAGTTAAGAGCTCAGCCCCAGCACGGGGCCGTGCTGCACAGCCCCACGGTGCAGAGCATTTGTCACCCAGCTCTGCTGAGCCAGGCTCCACGCTGCTCGATGCCTGGTTAAAAATAACCCCAGCTCTGCGGCTCGGAGCTGGGCCCTGCTAAAATAAACATCAGCACAGCTCTTTCTGAAGGTCGCTCCCATCCATCTGAGCTCGGCACAGCACGGCTGCCCTGGCCAGGAACCGGCTCCTGACAGCAGCCAAATGCTGCTGCCATAGCCTGGCACTGGGCTCTGGCTCCCTGGGGCTGGCGTCTCCCCCATTATCCAGGATCCAGCACCCTTCCATACCATTTGCAGAGCATAATGAACCACTCGGCGCCCCTCTAGCAAGTCCACATCAGACAGGTGCCTGCCTCACACACCTTCTCCATCATCCTCTAAGGACTGCGAGAACAGTGTGGCCAGTCCTGCAGCACAGGCACCTTCACAGGGACATCTTCCCTGCACGCATCCTGCAGCACCCAGTGCTGCCCTGCACCGCCTCCCTGAGGCGCTCTGACGCTTTTGCTGTACCAGAGATAAATTACGAATTGAACATTTACAGCACCCATTGCACGGAACAATTTCCAGTCCAGCATTAGCCCAAGTGCCAAGGTGATGTGTTTATGTGTCAGGGAGACGTCCTTAACACCCATCAGCTCGCTGGAGATGCTGACTTCAGGAGCTCATTTCAGACTTGAGGACCTTTAGCTTACCTTCTGTGATGGATCGACACTGGAGCAAACTCCATAAATCAGAGCACACGGGAGCGGGATGCGGCGGGACTTTGACATCCCATTGCCTCTGCACAGCCCCGAGAACATGGACGTTTTACACCCACTGAACACCTGAGGCACCGGGAGACAAAGCACGCAGTAACACCCCGCTGGCAGAGCTCCCATGGGAAGCCATCCCCCTTTTCCAGGACCACAGGAGACACCACAGACATGCATATCCCGGTGTGCCCATCCAGCAGTTACAGCTCCAAGATCCCACCCAGGCCGGCCCAGACCCTCACACAGCCCCAGGAGGGACCAGCACCACTGCTGGGCTGTCCTGGCTCTGCTGCTCCGCAGGTCCCCATCCTGCCGGGGCTGGACACACACAGAGACCAGTGAGGGGAGTGGTGAGAGCCAGCCAGGCACCCGCAGCAGAAGGGGCAGCTTTTGGTCAGTGCTCGTCTCTTCCCCTAAACCTCAGGACGTGGTAGCGGTGCCTGCACTGATCCATTTAAGCAGCCTTTGGTAAACCTGCTAACGGCAGCATGCGGAGCCCTGCGAACACACAAGAAACAGCTCTGCACCTCCTGCTGCCCTCCAGCACCCTGCTCAGTTTGGCTTTTGTACCCTCCCCAGGAGTCATTATCCGCATGTCCCCATATAACCCCAATTCAGCAGTACTCCGCTGGCGATGGGACTGTCCATGGCAGCTCCAGGGATCCTCCATGTCCCCAACCACCCCAGATCCAAGGGCAAACCCCATGCAACACCTGTGGGGCAGAAAAAGTCAAAGCACCACTGGTCAAGGACACCCTCTTTATTCAAAAATAGATATCTATGAGACAGTTGAGAATATACTGCTGCCACGACAGGCAGCCTATATGTCTAAATTAATTCCTACATCGGTTCATATACAGATTGAAGCTTTTGTTAAAAAACAAAAACAAGACACAGCTTGAGGGAATCTGTTCAACCTCGAGGCTGCCACCAGCTCACCAGAGCCCTTTGCCCAAAAAGGAAAACAAATAAAATTAAAACCCACGAGACTTCATTTAAATTAAGCAAAATAAACCACACACGTGTACTGGGGGAAAGAAATCCAAGCGTTTCCATTAAAACCCAACTCCCACAGACCCGCCCAGGAAGGAGCCCGCGGTGCCAGCGCCTCTGCCCGGCTCACTCTTTGATGACAGCTTTGCTGTCCTCAGTGACACACGTTCCATCACCAGCTGAAGTACTTGGTTCAGACAGCTCCGGGGTAGCCCCGGCAGCAGGGCTGAGGCGCTGGGTTGGGCTCGTAAGGTTTAGGGTTTGTTTCTTCCTCTTTGGCAAGAGCAGAGGACGCGCTGTGCTTTACCTACATCACTTTGGACCATGGGGGCTGCACAATCACATGGACTCACCGAGGGAACAGTCCTGCCACGGAAGGATTCCCTGTAAACTGAAGAGAAAAACCACGTTTCTGGGCTGGGCCGTGGGGGGCGAGGAGACTCAAACAAGGACAAATGAAGGGTCAGGAGGGAAAGGATGAGAGCTTCTGAACAGCTTCATGACCAGCAAACGCTGCAGTACCCGTTTAACCGAGCGCTGAGCGGGCTACGAACACCCTGGGAAAGAAACTGAGGAGGATGCAGAACCAGCTTTGCATTTCCACAGGGCTCCTCTCCCCTCCTTGACAGGGAGGTGCAGACACAGCCTCACCTCAGCCTCTGCCACCAAACCTGCACTCCCAGGTCCAGCGTTGCCAGGAACTGAAAAGGTTTTATAACGGTTTCCTAGTGAGGGGTGCTAAACTGCAACAGAAGCGTTACCCAGACTGGAACAGAATGGTTATCCAGATTGGAATGGTTTTCAGTGATCAGAGTCCAGCTTGTCAGACCTAACACACAAGCTGAACTGGAACGCCAGGCACCGCACGAAGCCATCAGCCAGCAACAGAATGGAATTAAGTGTTTTACATTTGCCTTTTCTCCTTTTTTTTTTTGTCTTTTTTTTTTTTTTACTTCTGATTATAAAACTCCACCCACGATAATCTGTGACACAAAATTAAGTACATCCTTTAAGTACATCCTTCTAATATCTACACGCAGGACATGGTACATGTGCATACAGGGTATGTGCATATATATGGGCCTATGCTCTATATAAATAAACATTTATACCACATTTAACTTCTGTGCATCAAACAACTTCACTAAAGCTATGGAGAGAATTAATAGAATAGTATTTTCAACGCAGCTATTCCAAGAGTCAATGAAGGTTCTGGTCACAGGGCCACCAGCAGCTGCAGTGCACCCTTCCAGCCTCTCCAGTCATTAAATCAAAGCTTTGGGAGCATCAGATTTTGTGTAATGAAGAGGAAAAATGTGGTATAAATCTAGGGCAGCTAGAACAGACCTTCCTTCCCCTCTCACCGAGGCAATTCCCAGCTCTGCGCTGCTCAGCCGTGTAAGTTTTGAAGCTATCTCTAATTCACAAAGAAAAGCTGCTCATTTTTGTTGCCTGTGGTGAGTTTCAATTTCTGTACAAGCCAAACAGGAAGGATCTTCACCTCAGTCCCACACCACGGAGGAACTGCAGGCTTAAGAATAACATTGCTCTGTACCACTGCTCAGCAGAAGCCGCCTCCTCCCGCGGTGCAGCACGCGCACCCGGCCCTGGCAGCCCATCAGCTACTCCTGCTCCAGAGACCAGGCTCAAACCCAGTGAAAACAGGGCAGACTCCTCCAGAAACAGCAGGACACTTCTACAGAGGAGCAGTGTGATGGGTCAGCCTTCCTTTGGAAACAACCCAGGTATGTATGTACATGATTCACGCAACTTCTGTGGGGTAACGAGTGCTAAGAGCAAACAGCAACTAAAAAGTATGGAAAAACAGGAGAAAAGTTTGCCTAGATGGGACTGTCCCCACTCGCTGGGGAGCTCACAAAGCCTCGCTCTTCGCTCTCCCCTCAACGTGAGCCAGGGGAGCACGAGCAGCCAAGGGGCAAAGCAGGGTCTGCAGGTTCCTTCCCACTGGAGATCCTGGCGGGCCGGAGTTCCAGTCTACACCAGTCTTCTCACTTCTGCTGGTGGTATTGGGAACTGGGACACCGTTTGTTCTAGTCTGTTGAGAACAGGTCACCAGCAGATGGCAGAGGTGCCAGCCCCCCCGTGACATTGGGCAGCAGTGACAGATCGGGAAGGCTCTGGATGTGGGATTTCAGCTCCTTGCGGACCTGGGTTACCCGAGCAAGCTTCTGTTTATATTCCTGAGGGAGAGAGACAAGAGAATGGAGATTAAGCACAGGCCCATTAACAGTGCTTTTAGCTAAGCCATGAGTATTTTCCAGGTGAGGATTCCGAGGGAAGGTGGTGGGGCATTAGCTCTCAGAGCAACCATTGGCATGACCACAGACCCTGTCATCCGTGCTGCTAAAATGCTCTTTTTATGTCAAGCCTGATCAATTTTGACTATTTAAATAATCCAATTTTCCCTTTCAGGTCATTAAATTGAGCCCAAGTTTGGCTGTCAGACAACTCACATCAGCAACCCCAGCAGCTTACCATGCCACTGGCATGCCAGCAAACACTGAAACACATGCATGATCACTGCATATAAACCAGACAGACTCGTCCACACTGGACTTAAACCAAGCAAAATGCAGAGACCAAAGTTTTCAGAATTTTATTATAGAGGGCAAAACCAGGAACCCCTCAAGAAGAAACTTGCAGTGGGTTTTCCACAAATGAGGCCTGGATTGAGCATTAAAAATCCAGCAAGAAATACTTATGCAGCTTCAACAACCTCTGTGATCCAAGAGACACAACTAACAGTGACTAGTGTTTTGTAATGGGAAGACAGAGGAAGAGTTTGGACCCTGAAACTGAAAGAATGAATCGTACCTTGGCGAGTTCTGGGTAAGCCATTGCAGAGCAGATCCATGTCACCCAATGCAGAAGCTCCATTAAAGACTGATTTTTAGGTAACTTACATAAATGTTTAGAATCACAAAACTTTAAAACAGTCTCAAAAGCCAGGTTTTAATTAAAAGACAGCTGTTTAAGTAATAAAACCCCAGTATCACATCATGTCTTTTGGAATGCTCCCATCTTTACCCATGGCCTATTTTCCATGGCAGCTGCAGAATGCAGGAAAGAATGAGCTTAAAAATCACACACAAAAGGGGCTTCTATAGAGTCTGCTGTAATATTCACTCACTTTTCATTTCTTAATTACTTGACAAAGAGAGGAGTTTATCTTTGAAGATCAAATAAAACAAGGCACACATTTAATCACAACATCTTTCTGAAGCGTTTACAGCTTTAATCCGGCCTTTCTGACCTTCTCAGTGACGGAAAAGTCTCTTCACCTTCCCCAAATATCAAAGCGCAGCAGTTCCTGTGGGGTTACAAGCAAGGAGTTTACACTCGCTGTGTTTCATGACTTTGAATCAGAACAGTGAGAGCACAGGCAGCCTCCACAACTCGCATACCCCTACACCACAACTCACATACCCGCAACAGCTACAGAAATAGTCCATAAATTCCTGCCAGCACCAAGTAAGGATGTTCTGTAACAGCCTGTTTCAAACTTAAATCCTTTTACGAGGCTCAGGGAGTTAACTCACCACCATAACAAACACTTCTGTAATGGGCATAGGATATGGTCAAGTTCGACCAAAGCTCTACCAACTCTGTAAACCCAAGTGCCCTGTTCTGAGGCTGGAGGAGGGCAACGACAAAACCAGCTCAGGAGAAGGTGCACCCCTTCATTTAGGATTGTGAGGATTTGATTTAGTGAAAGACAAAACCAGGATCAAACTAACGACGCCTGACATCCCTGGCCATTCCATTTCGGGAAATTTCACTTAAACCAGGAGACAAGTCAAAAAAGTCACATTACAAAGACAGAACAAAACCAGGAAATCACCCAGATTTTTAAGCATGACTAGAGGATGAGAGCAGGTAAAGAGGCAAGCCAGGGCAGTGCTGCATTCCAACATCTTCCAGGCGAATGGGGAAGTCAGCGGAGAGGAAAAAAGTGGGCTGGTAACAGGAGTGTTCTGCTCCATGTGGGGAAGGGAGAGAGCAATGCATCAGCTCCTGCATGTGTGGGACAGAGACAGCAAAAATAATTACTGTATTATTGTATTCCAAATGCTCACAGAGAGGAGGTGGAAGAGACTGGATCAGAGACTCCAGAAAACTGTCTTAAAAGAAGCAGTAAATTAAAAAGCCGTAGGTCAGGACTGTCAGGGAGTGATGGATATCAAGCCAGGAAAGAAAGGGCAGCACTTCCTCAAGAATGCCAGTGTCAGGAGTGAGTAGCTGCAGATTGGTTTTCCTGCAGAAGAACTGGAAAAGGAGCAACAACCCCCAAACCACTAAAGCCTCTGGCTCAGAAAAATGTCCCTGAATTCAGGAATGGGAACGATGTTCTAAGGGAGTAATCCAGGAACCAAGATTTCCTAGAAGAGATGAGTTCTTGCTGGACAGCTAGGATACACAACACAGCCTGCTCTGCACGCTTAACACTTTCCATCTGCTCTGGTATCAAAATGTTGTGTGATTTGTGGCAGAGCTGTTGGGGACAACAGAGCCCAACTGCCAGAGCCAGGCCAGGCAGCGCTGACCATGCTGGAGCCCCACCACACAGCATCCAGCAAGGGAAGGGTCTGAACATGGGCATCAGGGCAGAGCCTGGAGACCACCCAACCCTGCTGGGCAGCTGCTCCTGCCAGTGAGGAATCCTGAAGTCCTGCTGCATCACAGAAGCAGCACCTACGAGGAGGTGCAACCCTCTGTATGAGGTGCAAGGCCCGTTCACTTGTATTTGCCATCTGCCCTACTCAGTAACACACCTCAGCTGCTCTCGGGAACAGGCAGAAGCAGACACACATAACCCTCTCCCAGGCTCAGGGGCTTTGCTTTTTCCAGCTGTGGCCACGTTCTGCCACCATGGACTCTGGAAGCAGATGTCACGGGAATCCATGCTCTTCACGTAGCCTATGACATGCTCTGAAACTGTATCTTGCAGATCCCTTCTTAAGGCCCCTCTGTTCTATAAAGCTGAAAGAATATGAAGTGTACTTGAAAGCAGCCATTGCCTCCCACAGTCCTGTCTGTGCCCTGTCTCCAGCTGATGGCCTTGCTGAAGGTAGGCTTTCGTTAAGATTAATAGTACTTGGATGGTATTTGCTTCTATTAGACAAAATAATGAGATCTTTGCTGTAAGCAGGAGTTTGAGGATGATACAGAAATACTCTGGCGCTGTGCCACATGAATGCTTTTGCTAATCAACATTCCCTTCCTGTATGCAACATCCTACATCCACAGCAGCCAAGTGACAGATCCCAAGTCCTCAAAACAAATGCAAAATCAGAATTAAACCCCGCTGAATGAATCTGACAGAGTGTTTCATTCACAGGAAGCTTTGCTTGAACCTTATAAAACTGACTAATGGACACAACAGGGAATTCCTTCCACACGACTCGGTTCACGTTGTCCAGTTACACAGCACAGACTTCATCTTATTTTAGCTTAGAGTGTGCCCTGGACACTTCCATTCCTGTGCCAGGTCAGGCAGTAATGTGTCATAAGTCATCACAGAAACTGCACCAACTGAAAACCAGCTGGCTGGGTGTTAATGAGGATCTAGAAAGTGAAGAGAAAGAGCAGCCAGTCTGTCTGCTCTGCTGTCACTTGAGCTGGATGTATGAAAGGGAAAGACCTCACAAGTCAGGGAAAACACACCAGAGGGTCAACAGAGATGGGGAAAAAAAAGATAGTGAAGTTTGAGACCAAAGAGGGATATATGCTCATGTAAAATTTCTATTTAAAACCATGAAACACACAGCTCTACTACAGCAGCTCGCTTGGGTACCCCTTAGCTTTCACTGCTTGCCTCTTAGCCTAAAGTACTTCTCAAACATACTCACTAAAACATGTTAAATAAGAATGTCCCACTGACAGTGTATTTACAAGAAATGACCAGTGCGAAGAGTGCTGCGAAATAATTACCAAAAATGAGAAGTTTTGTAAAGCAGACCCTCCCAGTGAGTGCATGAACTACTGCCTGGCTCCCACAGCTCCCCCCTGCTACCCACATGCATGAGAAACACCACCAGTTTCCTTTCCTGGCAGAAAAACTAAAACTTCACCTCTTGATCCCTGCCTAAACCACTGAAATGAACACACCAGAGCCCAGGAATTCTTGAGAGGAAAGCTGCAGCCACAAAGGCATCCAACAGCGACATGCAGCAAAAGCTGAAGCGGTGGAAGCAGCACAGCAATAAATTGCACATTAACCCCCTGAACTACATCATATTTCAAGATGTGCAGGGCCCGGAAAAGGCGGCTCAGTGAGACCGCACTTCAGCCTGCAGAGATGCACTGCCAAAGAGGCCTTACAAGTTCCTATGGGCACAGTTTTAACACCTTCTTAAAGGCGCCTTGAGGCCATGAATATTAAAAAGCTCCAAGATGTGAAGGCCCCACAGCTCCCAGCAGGATTCAAGTCACAACCTGTCAGGTGCAGTCAACAATCAGAACATTTCCCCTAACCCGGATCTTGGATACAGCATGTTCTCCATGTCTGCATACATATGCACACACACAACACAGCTGTGTACACAACACCCCCGACACAATGCACTACACAGAACAAACTGTACATGCTGTAGTATGTTCCTCACATCACCTTTTACAAAAGCAGATCCAGAACAGGACACAGGGAAGAACTCACCAGCACTAACTGCAAATCAAAACAACTCCAAAAGCACATTCCCCTCTATTTCACTTTTTCCCTCTTCTCCCCATTAGATGCAAATAACTGTCCCCAGATTTCCTGTCATTACTGGTCATTTCAGACACAGCTTCCACACAATTTGCCCTTTTGCAGCTCTGCTTTCAAGTGGTGGTTCTAGTCCCACCTATTTCACTGACTTCCTTTTGCAGTCACCTGGTACATGGACATGGGAATTCTCCCCTGCATTTTCTGGATTTTTCCTCTCGCCTGCCATGCATTCAGGAAGAGCACACAGAGGGCTTCAAAAGACAGTCCTTCCCCTTGGAGCTCTGCAGGCCCAGGTGCTAAAGGACAACCCCCCCCAGCTGCCCTGAAACAGGGGCAGCCACAGCCAAAAATAACCCAAATCAGAGAACTTCCACTGGCAGGTAAATACGCATGTGAGATGGGAAGCCACCTCACCTCATCCTTATGAACATCAGTTCTAGTTTCTAAGCCTGCCTGAGAAGGGATTTTATTTCCTGACACCTACTATTATAAAAGTCTCTGATGCTGTCCAGGCCATGGAAGATCACACAGCAACTGCCCGAGATGAAGCACATTTAAACAGAAATCCAGTGTTCTGAACAGCAACCCCTACCACAGCTTTCAGCGAGTTAGCCTAAGGAGTAGTCACCCTTAAAAATATGCCCTGTCACAGGCTGTTCAGCATCAGCTTTGGTCCTGCTGCTTTTGCTGACTGTCAGAATTAAAGGAACTCTGCCTTTTCCTTTTACACTACAAGCACATTAACCCGATCTCACCCCCACTTAAAGTAGTCCCAATTTCTACGCTTTCCACTGCTACCCTAAAAGCAGTTTGTCCATGTCATGATCTTCAGGCCCTGTGCCACCTCTCTCCCTTCAGATTTCCAGGGCTTCCCAGCACTATGCTGTTTTGACCCTTACACACCCCCGTCTGTATCCACGCTGAAGTGTAGCTCCTTGTCCAACAGCACCTTTCTCAGCAGTGTCCCTCAACTGAAGAGCTTTTCTCTGTGTCCCGGGCTTTGAGCATTATCCCACCAGACACACAAGACACTGAGTTTATGTATGTTCTGAGAATCTGCTGTGTCAAGGGACAGCATTAACAGGATTAGTAAGCAACTGCAGCTCTTTAGACTGCAAAAGCTGCTTTTCAAAAGACACAGATTAGCTACTTCCATTGTTATCACAGTGAAAGACTTTGCTTTGTGAGTAAATAAAGTGCAAAAATATTTAGGGATTTCCAAACGAGAGATTTTCATATCTTAACTAAAGCCCTGAGCCACGTTACTGACAGAAACCCCTCTCCCCAAGCAGAGCCTTGGCTGGACTAGGACAGCCAAGTGAACAAACCACCTTCCACCTAGAAATGCCACCTCAGCTCAGAGCCAGGGAACTTACTGCACAAGAGAAAAAACTCACAGTCAGAAGCAGCAGAGATTCTGGAAGAGATCCCTCGAGAGAGCAAAGCACACGCTGAGGAGATGTGTATGATTACATTGGCTTAAGCTGTTTTCTTATTTCAGCTTTTGCCTGAGTAAATGGTTTGGTTTTTAACACGTTCTTAATTGCCACAGGAATTCCAGCTCCTTCTCATAAAATATTTTTCAGCACTACAAAGGACAAGCCGGGCTTATCAATAACGGCATGTGCTGCCAGCACATCAAAGACTCAGACAAAACTGATGAGCAGATAGAGCCTGTCACATCTGCAACCCACATCTGCCTCCATTTATTAACCTTCTACAGCCCAAGAAGAAAGGCAATGCTTTCATCAGGCAACAGCCCTCAGCTGGGATTTGACAGGAATATGAATTGTGCCTTCATGTCAAGGAGGAGAGTGGCATTTCCTGGGACTCGTTTGAGATTTCTACAGCACTAAGGCCACCTTGGTTTGGCAGCATGACAAAATCCAACCTAAATTGGTATTTAATCAGATCCAGATAGTTAATCAGATCATTCGTTAGTTTTCAACCTGGTAAAGCACTTGTTCACACTGAACAGTGGGCCAGCAGCCTGTCCTGCTGCCATCAGCAGGATTATTCCTGCTGTAGCTCAGCCTTTTCAGGATGAGATTCCTGCCTCGCCACTGTTACAATTTTCAAGTAACATTCCTTCCCGAAAGGACATTTTCCAAAACACAGCCCAACACAACTGTCACAACATTTCAGCGAGTGCATTAGAAATTTTATTTCAGCATTGTCATGATGAATCTCTCCATTTCACACTCTCAAACTGACTCAAATTTATGGCTTGTTCTGGGCTTTTCAAACACTGCTCTGTAACACTGCTGCCTATTCCTGCCTTTTTGAAAGAGTAAACAGCAATAGGTCTGCCATTTGTAGATTTATATATATACTTGTGTTTCTACTAGACATGTGTCCTCCTTTCAGCAAGGGGAAAACCCCTGACCTCACACTTTCACTACATTCTGCTCATAAACCAGGTGCCAAACAGGATTTGGGTTCATAGCATCTTCCATACCCATGTCTGAAAGTGCCTTTAATGACTCAGTTGTTACACAGACACTCTGCCTGAGGAAATTCAGGCTAAACCAGCCGAGAGAGTTACCAACTACCCACTGCAATCCCCAGTGCAGAGTCAGCACCTGCCTGGCTGATTTGGAAAATCCAGCTCTGGAAAAGCAGCATGCTCGCAGTCACAAGACTGTGAGGAACTCCAGCACAAACACACACGGGGAGGAAAACACTCAGAATGAAATCTGCCCCAGCACATGCTGCAGGGCTGCCAGAGGATGAGGTTTGTCATGGCAGCAAACAGCCTGTGCCTGCCACAGCACAAGCTCCTTCCAGAGCCTCTCCCCTGCAGCAGCTCACACACCATCACAAGCTGCACGAGTGGCTGTGGCTGTTAAAGGATGGATACCAGAAGTTCTTGTTTGAACTCCATTCCCTTATCAAATAGGGGCTGGGAAGGCAGATGAGGGGCACTCACCAACAAAACAAGCAATAATAATAAAAAGATAATTATGGCAAAGGGAGGTTGATTTTTTGGAAATGGGGATTTCATTAAAAGGACAGGGTAAGTCTGAAGAAACTGAAAGAAAGGTAAGCCTTTCTTTCTTTAACAAGAACGGAGCTCTGGACCTTCCCTGTCCCCCTGAATTAAACCTACTAGACTGAATGTCAGAACAGATTTGCCTTCTCCAGATTTGTTTCACCCCTTTCTTAACCCTGTTTCACTCCATATGGAAAGATAACACCCAGGATCGTCTCCCTTGAAATACCCACATCAGGAGTCAAGTGGGACCGTCGGCCTGCTGGCACTGGTGCCACCGGTACTCACTTCCAGCTTCTTCTCCTTCTCCGTGAGGACATCCTTCTGGTTCTGGGTGTACTCGATGAGCATGCGGGCGAGCTGGCGCCGGTCCTCCAGCTCGGCAGCCAGGCGGCCGTTGTACTCGGCCAGCAGCAGGCACGCCTCGTCCACCGTCTTCGAGAGGCGCTCGGCAGCCTCCTTGTCTGCAGGCACAAGCAGCAGGGCACTTAGAGACAAAGTGTGAAACCTTCTGGCTTGGACACTGCCACGCGCACAGCAACATCTCGTTCACAAATACACTGTGGGCTTGACGGGAAAACAGGAGTTCTTATCACGGGGGATATACAGTAAACAGGCAGCACCGACAGCCCAAGAGCAGTGGTTGCAGACACCAACCTGACTGCATTTATCCTTGCAGAGATATCACTAACAGGGCACGAGGGGGGATCAAATCTATGAAGTCAGCCCCTCTGAAGAGGTTAATTACACTCAAGCATCGGGCTGTACTCTCAGCTGAACACACCAGGTGGGTTTCACATTTAATCATGGTGTGCACTTTGAGATTCCTCTTTTCTCTGAGTAGCTCCTGATGCATGAATACAAGTAAACATGAACTGCACAGTGGTCTGCACAGCTGGACGCTGCAAGCGTATACAATAAAGGACTGAATAAGTGACAGCTCCTCATATAAAGAAAAAAACACTCTGATTTCTAAGTTATTGCACCCAAATTCATTCACCTGCCAGTTTCATACCTGTTATTTTCTCCAGTAATGAAACATCCTGAACTTCCTGAGGCAGGGAAGCAATTTTCTGCCGCACGGTGGCATCTCCTGACGCTGCGTTTTCCAGGTCTTGCAGGGCTTTGATCAAGTCCTCAGTCTAGGAGACAAGTTGGCCAACATGAAAACCAGGAGCCACTAACACCACTCCCTGGGGATGTGGCCACTCTATCTAAGGTCACCCACCTCCAAGAGGAACCACCTTTGGAATATTTGCTTCAAGTAACTTTGAAACTGTTGCTTCCAAACACAGGGAGTATTCTCCAAGCTCACAAGAACCCAGTGCTTAGGAACTTATGTGGAATTCTAGTAGGTACATCTTTTTTAAGACTCTGCAGTGGGAAACTTCTCATTTCAATGAAGAGAAGTGGTCACTGCAGTCAAAACTGAAGTACTCGACCACACATCAGCCTGTTGTGCTGAATCAGCTGGAGCTCTCAGCTGAGCACCCCTGATGCTTTCTCTCAGATTAGCAGGAGCTACATCACTGTTTTGTTCTGCCCCCAAAGGCACGTTCTGACACAGCAAAACCAATCTAAACTCATATCAGTTCAAACTGTGTCAGGTTTCCATGGTCAGAAGATTTAGCATTAGTACCTGGTCACCTGCCATGAGCTCTGATGCCACAATAGCTATCCCAGCTAAAACAAACCCTGTCTTGTCCCGACTGAAGCTACCCTGAACCCCACTGATGTGAACCCCTCCACATCACTCCTCTGGCAGGTTTAGTGCACTGAGGAAAAACGTGTCACCTTAAATGAACATACTTGGAACATCATAACCTGGCTTAAACCAAAAGGATGTGGATGAGCACAGCCTCAGAAGGAGCTCCTGACTCACCACATCTCCTCCCTTCTCAGAAAACAAAACAAGGGAGAAAGAGACTCCCTGAGCAGGAGAAAGAAGTGCCTTTGTCCTTGAAATGGGACCCCCCACCCTGCAAACACCCTCACTGATGTTTAAACCAGATCTCAATAGTTTGAAACTATTAAAAACACAGGGAAAAAAAAAGGTAACTATTTTTTAGCTGAAAACACTGGAAGTCCATGGCGCACATTTACTGCTTCTTTGCAAACTGCTGATGGTTTCCAACAGTAACAAAGACAATGCTCATCATCACAAGAAACCATAAGCTGTGAGGCCTGTGGAGGTAAAAACAACAAACCCCCTCACTTATTTCTTTGACAACTGTTATTTATTGTCATTTTCCAGTGTTTAGTTACCAGATGGATGGTGTGTTTTCTCAGCCTGTTCAAATACACAAATGTTTAACTTATGCTTATTTTTTAGCCTCAAGTAGGGTCAGAATGACCCTCTGTTTCATTCTGATTCTTTCCACACCACTAACATTAGCCTCAAACCAAATTCCTCAGAACTGCTTTTCCCATTCTATTAACAGTTGGGCTTTTTAATAGCTCATGGAAAGAGATGTCCTACAAAAAATAACCAAGTTTTAGCCCTGGTAAAACTCTGAGTTTGAGATCACACACTGATCTTGCAAAGAATTTAACACAGTCTGATGTCCCAGCAGTCCTCTGGGACTCTTCACTGGCAGTGACCCAGAGGTCACTTCAGCCTCCTGAAAGCACCCAGAGCAGCACCAGACTTCAACGTGAAGAAGAATCTGTTCCATTTCCCACAGACTTCAACCCCAGCTGAACCTCCCAGGAGCACTGCCCTCGTTGGCAGCCCCACCTTGTGGCTGCACCACAGGAGGTGGCTTTGGGAACTGCTCCCACCCAAAACCCGTCCACATACCAGCAGTGGCCCAGCACTGGGGTCTTGGGGCGAGTAGCTCCCGGGGTAATCATCATCTTCCTCCTCCTGTATTTGCTGAAAAGTCCGTTTCAGAGACTTCTTCTCCTCTGTAACTAAGGACACACACGCGCAACTCATTTGGATGCCGGATCTACCCACCTCAACCATCTCTGCTTCAAAACCACAGTAGCAGATGCTCTGATGGTTAAGCTCTCTACAGAGAGGGATGACCACAGGTGGCCTCTAATGTTGGCATTGTATTCCAAACACTCACACGCAAAACAGCAATAAAGGTTGATTTTGCCATATACACAATGAACTGACAAGAAGGCAGCAACAGTCACATTCATGGAAAGGCCCGAACTGTTCCCTCATGCAAGAAATATCACATCAGTACCTCCTATTACCTTGGCAAGAGCTAAGTTTCTCACCAAGTGAAGTCCTGCAGAGGGCAGTTGTTAAAACATTTGTACGTCTTCAATCTGTTTCCCACAGGAAGAGGTCTGTTACCCTCAGAAGGGTTTGATTCTATGTAAATGTTTTTAAGTTGCAAAGGTAACAGTAGCAGGGCTGGTTGATGCCAAAGGGAGGAGGAGACAGAGCAAGGGGAGGCTGCCAATCCCCCAGGAAATCCCTGCCTGTTCTGGACACACAGTATCATTTCTTTAGATTACACCTTAAACGCTTGTGAAACTCCTACCTGGATACCTTGAATTAACAGTTTCAAATCCCCAGTTAATCAGTTCAACAGGAATTTCGGCATGTAAATCCTCCCCTTTCATGACAAGAGGCTCCTATGCACTGCACCCAGGCCAGAGGGAAACCTCAACACCAGCTAGTGGGTCTAGGCAGGTACAACTTGCACCTTCCACCTCTCAGAACAGAGACCTCCTCTGTGCTGATACAGAGCAGACAACCCACTGGTCAGCTCAGCTGGTCGCCAGCTTAACCCGGTAACTCTGCTTGAAGCAGCATGTGAAAACCCACAAAGCTGCAGCCACAGGTGTATGTCTTCACATGTACGTCTCATATTAATGCTCATTTTCATATTCATTCTGCATTAATTACCATCTCCAGTAGACACATCTGCCTCTTTCACCACCTCAGAACAGCCCAAGGGCACTTCACTGATGCCTGAGCCAACTCTCAATATACCACACCTCCGTGGGAGCACAGCAAAACGTGGTCAAAGCAGCAACCTGATTTCAGCTAATCTGAAAACACTGACACTTTCTTCAGCTACAGAGCAGCCAAATATCCCCTTGACCAAAACACTCGATTTTCAGTGACCCTGCCACAGGTTACTCATCTACCCCACCCCTTCACTACTGTCCGACCAGTTAGACCCTTTCAGACAAGAGGCAGGATCTGCCACAGCCGTATAAAAGCAGACTAAATGCAAGAAGCTTCTGCTCAGCTCCTCACATCTGTCTCATGCAGCAATAAGTTTCCAACCACAACATTCAACGATGTTAAATGATGCAAAGCTCACGTCTTCCCCAACTGACGTCAGCTGGTGTGAGAAAAGTGCCCAGCCCAGCTCCTGGGCATATATTCCAGCCTTCAGTTACTAAAAAGTCCTTGAAGAAACATAATAAAATACAGTAACTATGTAAAATAAACCAGGATGAGAATAAAAGCACCAACAATACTGAAAAACCCATTATAATGACCCAGCTGACCACTCTCAGAGGCAGTGGGACACTTTCAGTTCTCAAGGTGGATGCAGCAGTTCCCTGCGCCCCTCTCACCTGTGCTCACACCAAAGGGCAGCCCCGGAGCAGTGTGGCTGCAGAAGCAGCAGCAGACATAACCTTCAGTTCAACTTACTGCCACCCCAAGTCACGAGGCAACATATCTGCAAACTGGAACTGCAGGTTTAAGGAAAATCAGCCTCCTCTGAAGCCAATCCTGAGGATTCCCCATGAGCAGCTCTGGCAGCAGCTCAGCTGTAGAAGCCCTGAGCTCCGTTCCTCACAGAACACCCACTGAAACATGCATCAGTGTAAAACCAAAGCACATAAGAAAAGCAACACACATTTACCTTTAGTCTGGGGGCTATTGGAGTCTTCCATCGAGAGCTTCAGCTGCTGAATGAACTCACTGCCATACACACTCCTCTCTTGCCAGATGTTAAGTAATCGTTCCAAGGGCTTTTTGCAGCCCTCATCTGCTTCTCTGTTCAAAGATTAGAAAATAATTATGATTCAACTCAGAAACGTTCCTTATGTTTTAAGAGAGCATCTTCTAAACCAGCAGCTGCATCCCCTGCACTAGCTGCATGTTTGGAGAGAATCTCTCATACTGTCCAAGACAAACTGTGCAAAACACATTTGTGGCCAATTTTCCCCTTTCATTGGAACCAAAGATTGCCTGAAAGTGCCCCACATTCCTATCCAGAATAAGGGCAGGGAAAGCGTTGAAGGAAGAACTTGCCCTCATTCAGAATTCGCAGGAAGAGTTATAAACCACCCCCAAGTTGACACGTTTACAATCCAGAGTATTAAGCAGTTGTTTCAGTCACTAACATCCCAATTAAAAGCAGGTTGTTTGGATCATTAGGCACGTAAATACAGCCATACAGCACACTCACCCAGAAAGCACACCACTAAACACCCCGACACAGGGCTGTTTAGCTGAGATAATGGGAATTATTGTGCCATTTAGAGACAATCTTAGCTACAGCATAGTCCATTCCTAACAGGCTGGAAGCTGCATCACTGCTTCCCTTTTAGGCACCAACTTCTTCCTTCCCCTAGTGAGGAGACTGATGAGCAGACAACTTAAAACAGTACAAAAAGCAACTGCTCAAACCAGATGACCGAGGAGAACCCAGTGACCCGAAACACCAGCTCCTTCTGACAGTGGGGAGAGCCCTTCACTACGTGGCTTTAACACACACCTGCAAGTCCTCAGTTTCGGTGCCCACAGCAGACCTGCAAGAGCCTGTGGTAACAAAGCACACTGAGCTGCATGCAGGGAGCAGCGGGGAAGCTGTGAGGGGCTGAGTCACACCAGAATTTGCCACAACAGGAATATTAACACTAAACAGTTCCTGGCCACAAAGCAGTGAGAATCCAACCTCCACTGCACAGACTGAAACATAGCAACAGCACAACAAAATCCAACTGAATTCAACTTCGATTAACAGGAAAGCACATCTCTAGAGAGGACAGATGAAAAAATACATAACCCAGCAACACACCTGGCAACGTGAGAAAAAGCATCCACAAGAACAGACTCGAATTCCCGGGTAAATTCAGGGCCTTTCCTCTTACTGTTCTGGATGACATCATTGGCCAAGTACAGGAAAGTGAGTTTCCTACTCGATTTTGCTGGGAAACGGAAAAAAAAGGGAGAGGGGAGAAGTGAGCGAGTCTGCGTTTATTTTTCCCTTTCACCCAGACCCATTAACATGGTTTGAACAAAGTTGCTGAAAGCTTTTCAGTCTAAAAACGAAGTTCTAAATATTTCCACATTCCCAAGGCACATCCCAGGCCCTGAACAAGTGGTTCTTGTTCCCCTTTTTTCTGCTGGGTTGTTGGTTTTTTTTTTGAAGAAAACCATGTAAGAAATAACTTTCACACACAATTAAAACAAGATGCTGTAACCCACCAGCAAATTCATACAATAGACTTGCTTTTTCATTAACTTCAGGGGAAAAACCTCAGTACAGAACCACTTAATTCAGAGCCCAGCGGAATTGTAGGGGAAAGCTGGTGTAGACGCTCAACAACGTTCCAGGCAATGCTGGGTCAGGGCAATGTGACAACTCCTCCATAGCCCAGAACTTTTCCCACCCTGGCACCACAGTTTGCGCTGCCCTGTAGCCAGAACCGGTGGCAGATGCTGCTCTCCGGAGTGCAACACACACGAGGCAGAGAACAAAAGGCTCGTTTTCAGGGCAGGCCTTGCTCAGCTCTCTCAGCAGTTCATTTAACGTGCTATAACTGTAACCATTGGCAATTGCACAGAGGCTGCTCCAGGACTTCCTACAGCATCACCTGCTCCAGGGCTGGGGACGGTGCCTGCCCCTGGGCACTGACACCAACGCGGGCACTAGGCACCTCCTGCCTGAGAAGTTACCAACAGTTAACTTTAGTTAAGTGAACCTGCAAGGGATAAAGCACAAAATGCTCCTGGGCGATGCTGCTACACGAGTGCTGGAGATCTCTACACCATCCTTTACTCTGCTTATCTCTAACCCCTCAGTGCAACTCTACAATGGATAACACGAACCCAAAGGTACACAAACAAGGCTGCACACCGAGCACAGCGGGATCGGTACAGCCCTGCCCCACAGCCCGGCCGAGCCCCTCCGGCGCTGCGGCCCCAGCGCTCCCACCCCCGCTTCCCGGCTCCAGCCCTGCGCCCGGGGCTCGTTAAACCAAGCCCAATGAACAGCCACAGCGGCCGCAGAACGGGCCCGGGGGCCGGTACACGGCACCCCCCCCCCCCCCCCCCCCCACGGGGCAGACCCGGCCCGGGCCGCGCGTACCTTTGCGGAGCTCCCGGTGCCACACGGAGACGATGGGCGCCGCGTGCTTGCGGTGGTGGATGAGCCACAGCGAGAGCGTCTGCACGCTCTGCTGCGAGTTGCTGAGCTCCGACAGCTTCTTCTCCAGCGCCGACTCCGAGAACGAGGACATGGCCGGCCCGGGCCGCGCTCCCGCCGCCGCCGCCGCCCGCCCGCACAAGATGGCCGCCCGGCCCCTCACCCCGCCGCCGCGGGTCGAAGGGCAGCATCCTACGGATCGCCGGAGGGGAACGGCGCCGCCGCCCGAGCGGCGGGGGGGGGGGGGAAAGGCGTACAGCGCATGCGCCCGCTCCGGCGCATGAGCACTGCGGGCGGCCGCGGCTTCCCTCCCGGCGCGTGCCGCCGCCGGGCCCCGCGGGACGGGCTTGGCGCGGCCTTGGCGCGGTCTCGGCGCCGGTTCGGTGACGCCGCGTCCGGCGGGGGTGGGCAGGCCGCGGCCATGGCCCTGTTCCGCTCTCCGCGGAGCGCGTTCGGGGCGCTGCGCCCCGCCTGCGTGCAGCTGACGCGGGTGCAGACGGCGGAGAACGTGTGTCGGCTGGCGGCGCGGCTGGCGGCGGTGAGCGGCCCGGCGCTGCAGGAGCTGCAGGAGTACGTCCTCTTCCCGCTGCGCTTCGCGCTGAGGGCGCCGGGGCCGCAGCGGGAGCGGCTGGTGCAGAGCGCGGTGCAGTGCATGGCCTCGGTGCTCGCGGCCACCGCCGTGCGCAGGCCGGAGCTCCTGCGGGAGCTGCTGGCGGAGCTCTGCGCCTGCCTCGCCCCCGGCCCCGCCGCGCCGAGCGAGGACGTGAAGCTGGCGGTGACCGAGGCGCTCCGCACGCTGCTGCACTCGGCCTCGGGCGATGTGAGCCTGTCCCTGTACCAGCCGTCCACCCTCCCGCTCCTCGGCTGTGCTGTGTCCTTGCTCCTGGGCCTGGCGGAGCGAGAGAGAGCAAAGCAGCTCAAGGTCTCTGCGCTGAAGTGCTTGCAGGTCCTGGTCCTGCAGTGCGACTGCCAGGAGCACCGGCCCCTTGGCGATGACGAGGCGCAGCAATGTGGGGATCTGTTTGCTTCCTTTCTGCCTGGGATTTCCATTTCCCTGTCCCGGGTCGTTACCGGAGACATCAAACAAGGGCACAAACCCACCGTTGCTGCCATCAGACTCTTTTATCTGATTGTTGGCCTGGTGATGGCTGATGCACAGCTAGCCAGAGTCCCAAAGAGCAAAGAAAAGCTACCAGAGAAGGAAAGCAGAGTATCAGAAATACTGGTCCATAGAGGAGCCGACTGGAGCAAAAGTACAGCCGAAAAGCTCTCTCTCCTCCTGCGTAAAATGGTTGAGTTCTCCTCAGTTCACCCCCACTGGAAAGTGAGACTGGAGCTGGTGGAACTGGTCCACCACTTACTGAGGAACTGCAGCCATTCACTGGAGAGCTCCTTCACTCACCTCTTGAAGGCCTTGGTGGGACTGGTTAACGACGAAAGCAGCGAAGTCCAGAGCAGATGTAACGAGGTTCTGCAGGGCATTGCAGAGCAGAGGATCATAGCACAGAGCAGGGCTCTGGCTGATGTCCTCTCCGAGAACCTCCACTCCCTTGCCACAGCGCTTCCTCGCCTGATGAGCTCTCAGGATGACACGGGCAAGGTTTCCACTCTGAGCTTGCTGCTTGGCTACCTGAAGCTGCTGGGCCCCAAGATTAACGTCGTCCTCAACTCCACATCCCACCTCGGCCGCCTCTCCAAGGCACTGATGCAGGTTCTGGAGCTGGACGTGACGGACGTGAAGGTAGTGGAGGATAGACGCTGGGGCTGTGAGGGCTCCCTGCAGCCTGGTGTGCAGAATGGCAGATGCCAGAGGAAATACTTCCGCTTCTTCACAGAGGAGAAGGTTTTCCAGCTCCTTCAACAAGTGTGTCGTGTTCTTGGCTACTACGGGAACCTCTATTTGCTTGTGGATCATTTCATGGGGCTGTACGGCGAATCTGCCATGTACCGAAAGCAGGCGGCCATGGTCCTCAATGAGCTGATTGCAGGAGCTGCAGGAGTGGGAGTGGACGTCCTCCGGGAAAGGGAAGCGTCACCGAGCATGGACGATCTCAAAGGGTCCGTAACATCCATTCTCGAAGAGTACACAGACCAGGCAAATTGGTATTTGATCACGAGCGTTGATACGGAAGAAGTCAGCCATGAGCAGCACCCTGTGAACCACACAGGACTCCCTGCCCGCCCAGGGGGGACGTGCAGTACCATTCTCCTTCCATCCCCGGAGCTGCACGCAACGGCCCGCACCATGAACAGCAACATCTGGCAGATGTGCATCCAGCTGGAAGGGGTCGGCTGCTTTGCTGCTGTCCTCGGGAAGGAGTTCCGGCTGCTCCTGCTGACGGCTCTGTACCCGGTGCTGGAGAAGGCTGGTGACAAGACCCTGCTCATCAGCGAGACGGCGCTGGGGACGCTGGCAGAGATGAGTGAGGCCTGTGGCTACGGCTCTGTGCAGCGTCTGATTAATGACAACTCTGACTATCTGGTGAACGGGATCTCCCTGGGCTTGCGCCAGCTGGCGCAGCAGCCACATGCCTCCCGGGTGCTGGACACTATGCTGAGGCATTCAGATGCCAGCTTGCTGCCACTGGTAGAAGATGTTATCCAAGATGTCCTGTCAACGCTAGATCAGTGTTACAACAGCCAGGCTTCCACCTTCCTCGGGGTCCTGCACTCACTAATGACAGCTTTAGGTATCTAGACAACCTTTGCTTTGTGTAATTCAGTCTAAGGGGGCTTGTCTTTGGCCTTTTGACTTGCCATGGGAGGTTTCAAGTAGCTGAGGTGGTGGCAGCTTGGCTTTGCTGGTGGGCCAGCTCTCAAGAAAAGGTGGCCAGCAGCTTCCCCTCTCCACAGCTGGTTTATGTCTGGCCTGAAGAAACATGGCCTTTAGTGGTTGAGAAAGGATGGGTTTACTGCTCCCATAAGTGTTCTGCAGAAGCATATGGAGTGTATTCCTTTTTATAGCAGGGTTTTAACGTTCTCATCCCATCAGGAAGGTCACGGTGATGTGACAGCGGGTGCCTGGTTCTGTAGTTCAGTCCCATGGGACTGGAGAGTCCTGTTTGTCCCCAGGGGCCTGCGGTACCCTATTGGCTTGCAGGAGGGGGATCGCAATTGCTCAGTGACATCTCAGCTCCTCTCTTGCAGTCCAGTGGTTTGGCTCATTCTGCAGTGAAGAACAGCAGCAGCAGCAGAGCACCGAGTGCCAGAACAGGACCTTGTCCCCAGGGCCACAGGCGGTGACAGCACGAGACATGGAGCAGTTCTTCCTGGACTACATCAGGCAGAAGCAGATTGCAGAGGGTGATGTTCCCGACTCAGGGGATGAGGAGGCAGGTCAGTGCTGTGCCTGGTGGGAGCAGAGCGTGTTAGACTTGGAGAAAGACGGGGACCTCTGGGGTTGCCTTTTGTCACACGGGTAACCCAGGCCCAGGCTGAAGGTCTGGCACCCTCCTGGCAGTCTCAGGTCTGCTTTGAGCTGACCTTGGCTCACACCCAGTGCTGCTGGGTGCTCTTCCTGTGCTCTGTGCAAGGGGGAGTGCAGTGGTTGCAGATCAAGGCTTGCGTGGCTCTAAAACACAAGCACACTCAGTTTTTCCTTACCTCATAACAGGTCATTTGGGTTCAGGACCCAGTCTCCCCAGGATCCTGCTGCATTTTCCTCACCCTCCCTTGGGAATCCCTGTACCATCTTCTCTGGCTAATGATGCTACCGCTCCCTTCTCATTTGTCCTTGACAGGCCTTACAGACACAAATACAGGGAATTTTTAGTCTTTACTGGGCTGTGCTGCGATCCTGACCTTTAAACACTTCAGCTTTAAATACCCAGGCTTTTCACGTCTCATAAAAATCAATGGCAGACAAGTCCATGGTGAGGAGAGCCTGCAAATGTCACACCAGCTGCATTGTCCAGTGAAGAAAGCAAACCCTCCCGAGTCCCACACTGAGCTGAACCTGACACTTAGCTCACAGAACTCAAGCATGGACTTGCCTGTATCTAGATGTGTTTAAAATTGCCCAAGGCCTCACTTGGGAACCCGCAGAGTTGTGGGTGGCTGTTGTGATCTTCCAGGGTTTCCAGGTCATTTGCGTGGCCTCAGTAATGATTTTGCCTTCCAGATGAGGTTCCCACCCTTGCTAAGCCAGAGCCAAACAACTGTGAGACAGAAGGAGAAGCTCCCCTGCCGAGCCATGCTCAGCTGGCCAAAGACGTGCTGGAGAGGTGCATCCACTTGCTGTCTGACAGGAGCCTCCGTGTGCGGCTCAAGGTGGGTGAGCACCAGCGCCAAGGGGACGGGTGGTGGCCGAGAAGGGGCTGGTGCTTGTCAGCACGTGCATGATGCATGAGGGGCTTCCTGCCCGAGGAAGGTCGGTGCTGCATAGGTTCATTCAGGACAGACTCCCCGAGTCTGCCAGGGGAAAAGGGGACAGTTTTCCAGGAGCTGTCTGGTTTAGGAATGGCAGCCGGGGTGGCTTCACATCAGCACCTTCCCTTGATGCTCGTGATAGCAAAGTCTTATGCCTCAGCCTTGGTGGAGGAAGCAGAAGCATCTTTATTCCATCCCCCTTCCTCAGCCTGCAGTGCACAGGCAGGATCAGTTCAGAAGGTGCTGGGGATGATAACAGGGCTGAAAGCCTGGGGTGAAGGCTTTTTAATTATGAAAATCCTTTGAAGGTGGCCTCCTTTTGAACTGCAAAGTGAGACAGAACATGCAGCAGTGAGGCATAACCCAGATTCTTGCCGCCAGGGCCCCAGCCCTGCCAGGTGATCCTGCTCCCATTCCCCAGGAGCAGGGTCCTGGTGCACAGCTCAGCCTGCAGGATAAGGCCGGGTACATGCCCTGGTTCCAGCCCATCCCCATAGCCCAGTGCAGGTTATGTCACTGTGCTACTTGTCCCTTTCCTACCAGGCCTGTGCTCTGTGTACTGCTCAGTTATCCCAGCTCATGCTTAGGCAAAGCTGTACCCTTTTGTGTTAAACCCTCCTTTCTCCTGGCATGTCACTGGGGATCCACCCGGATGCCTGGAGCTGCAATGCTCAAGGTCTGTTGCCTGCTCCTCCTGCTCAGGTTCTGGACGTGCTGGAGCTCTGTGTAATTGTGCTGCATCCTCACGGAAACCATCTGCTTCCCATGGCTCACCGTGTCTGGCCAGCTCTCGTCACCCGCCTGATCAGCGATGACCCTCTGGCAGTGCTCAGAGCCTTCAAGGTACAGCAGCGAGGCTCTGCCAAGAGCCTTCAAGCTGGTGCTTGGAAGCCAAGTGCTCAGGCATTGCTCTGCCCGTGAGAGAAGCCCCGAGCCTGCGGAGTGATGTTAACTGTGGCTGGGAACACAGGGTCACCACCCTGCAGAGGGAAGGCTTGTACCACACCCACTGCAGCTTGTCCACAGATCAAACCTTGACACTGTTCCTGGGGGGAAGAGCAATGGTAGTGGGTATTGCAGGGAAGAGGAAAATGGTTCTTTTATAGCCTAAGCAGCTGTCAGAGGCACTGCATAGTGCAACTTGCCCTTGGTGGAGCCAGCACCAATACCCTCTTTGGAAGTGTTAAGACTGAAAAGAAGGGATTTTTTCCTCAATGGAGGTATTGGAAGAGGAGAGGATAAGCCAAGTTCTAAGAGGGAACAGTATTGTGACCAGATGGATTGGGCCCATGGATCCCTCCTTCCTTTTCACGTGTATTTAAGGCCATTCTCTAGGTCAGTTTGGTTTCTCTCCTGGGCACACACCCATGGGTACTGGGTGCCTGGGCTGTAGCCAGTCAGCCTTTCTGCTCACTGCCATGCTTGTAGATGGGCTGTTTCCGCTACAAAGGGGATTTATATCTTAGTGGCATCTTCCATCAGAGGCTCCTCCAGCAATTCTGAGTGAGACTTGACAAGCTACTCCTACCTTTACTGTGCTGGTGGGAGAAGGGCAGTCCCAGGAGGTGGTCAAGTGAAACAAAAGCAGGGTGCAGGTCACTCAGCCCCTCAATCGAGCATTCACCTTCTGCTCCCTATGGAAAACCATATCAGGTGTGGCCACATTGCCCTCAGCTGCAATAAAACTACCCAGGAAAGGAGTGCCATGTCCCAACAGAGCTCTGGAATGCTGGGCTCCTCCCAGAGCTCTGTGCACTTACCCTCCAGTAACTGGTGCTTCCTCACTAGGTGCTGTGTACCCTGGCTCAGAAGTGTGGGGACTTCCTGAGGCCGAGATTCTCCAGAGATGTCCTGCCTAAGCTGACCAGCTCCCTCCTCAGCCAGGCCCCAGCAAGTGCCAGAGCCAGGCCTGTGTACACCCACACGCTCGCCTTCAAGCTGCAGCTGGCTGTGCTGCAGGGTCTGGGCTCTCTGTGCGAGAAGCTGGACATGGGTGAGTACCAGGGAGGTACAGGCTGTGCGAGATCTCTGCCAGGCTTACCTCTTCTCCTTTCAGCTCCACTGACCAAGCCTGCAGTTGCTTCTTAGCCCTCTGCTCCTCCGTGGGATTGATTTCCTGATTTCCCCAGCCTCATCCCATTCAGGTCCTTCATGTGTCCTCTTTGAGAGCTCTGTAAAGAGGGGCTGGTTGCTCTTTACTCCCCAAGAGACAAATGGGAGAGAAGATTCCCAACACTTTGCAGAATCTGACTGATCATGTCACTTGTGCATGAGAAGTGGGTACAAAGTGGAGCTCCTGGATAGCTGCAGCCGGGCCTGTTGGGCCATGCTTTGTTCTCAGTTAACTGAAGAACTGGAGCCCAGTTAAGACTTCTGGCTAACCTGACTGGTTCCATTTTGGGGCATCTCTCTGAGTGACCCTTTAAATGCAGCACATTGCATTCTTCTACAGAATGAGACCCTCTGAAATTCTTCTAGGTTAAATTCCTGGAGCTGACTTTGATGAGGGAGAAGGTTTGCTGGGCAGTTGCTCTTTTCCTCTCTCAATGCCCTTGATTGCTTTCCTAGCTTGGCAGCAAGATGCTCAAAAGGCAGGGTCAGAAGAGCTCTGGGTCAGACAGTTCAAAGTCTCAGAAGCCTCTTGCTGCCAATTTAGAGCTGTCAGGCTGCAGTGGGTTACCTCCTACCCTTCTTCTCTGTTCCATTTCTGCAGGCGAGTGTGACCTGAATAAAGTGGCAGATGCCTGCCTGATTTACCTCAGCGCCAAGCAACCCAGGAAACTGCAAGAAGCTGCCCACAGGTAATGTCTCATAAATGCCTTTGTATCAGGTGTACAAATAATGAGGGACAGAGGCAGCAGAGTTGCCCCTTTCCCTAGGCACTTTTCCCACTCCTCCCTCTGGCACGTTGGAGTCCTGCACAACAGGGTATCATGGAAGTTAACCCCTTTCTCTGCTTAAGTACCATCTACTACCCAAAATGAGCTAGAGGGTAGCATGCCCACAAGCCTCAGCTTACTTTCAGATTTCTTTGCAGGGCATTTGGGAACAGAGGGAGAAGATGAGCTACTTGCTGTTTTCTAACTGCCTCCTTTGTGGGAATACTTGGGGCTCTATGCCCACCGGTGGCATAAAACTGCAGAGGAGAAGGCAGCTATGCAAGAGGATGTGCCAGACATTCCCATGCGTTTTATCACGTAGTACCTTCTGCAGGCTGGGGATTTACTTCTGTTATCCTTCCATTTTCCCTGGGCTCCTATGAAGATGCCAGGCGGGGCTCTGCCAGGTGGATGAGAGTTGTTTGGGAAGCTGTCAGTCTTGGCACCAGTCTTGCTCTGGGAGAGGTTAGAGGAGCACAAACAGTTTAGGTGAACACACATCAGCTCTGTGAAGTGTTGACAGACATACTTTGCTGCTCGGTGTACGAGATCCTGCTCAGCATGTTCCTGCCGTCAGGATAAGAAATTGCTGTTGTCATATGTTGTCACCTGGACACAGGGCCAGAGATTTCAGCAGACAAAACGAGCCCAGTTACAGAGCATGAATGGGTGAGCTGTGCCTCTCTGTCCCTGCTGAAGGACAGGGGAGAACTCCCTCTCTGTGTGGGCAGCCTTGTCTACGGGGAGGGAGCCAGCAGGGAGCAGGTTCAGCGGGTGTGGAGACTTCAGAGGGCAAACAGAAGAGCTGCCATTCCCTTCGCCAAGCACCGGTCTCTGAGGTGCATGGGGTGAAGGGCTTTGTGTGGCTGGGCAGCAGCTCAGAAGGAGCGTGCTCAGAAGCTGTAGCTGTGCCTTTGTTTGTATTCCTGCACTGGGGAGAGCAGGTTTATTTTTACCTTCGTGGCTTTCATTGCATCGCAGCAGGCTTCGGCAGCGTTTGTTCTGCTGAGAGGCTCATCGCTGTAGGCTTGCATACCCTTAGCACAATAAAGCCTTCATTTGTGTAAGCAATGCTGGAAGGAAAGCAGAGCACCAGGATCCATCTAGATATTTGGAACCTTAAGCTTTCAAATCATTAACAAAACAATCTAAAAAGCTGTGCAATTTCCCTCCCCGGTAGGGCTGGGGGAAAATACTGCCTGAGCCCTGCGATGCGATGGAGTCATTAGAAGCTGTACTGTGAAGGATGCTCACGGCTGTTGGAGGAAAAGGGCAGTAAAGTTCAGGGCAAGCAATGTTTTTCTCCTGTATATTATTTTTACTCTATTTTAAGGGAAATGGCACATGTTACACTGCTCCCCCCTGCCTCTGATGCACTGCACATTTCACTGAACAAAGAAAGGCCTTTGTGAACAGCTCTCTGTGCAGCTGTGTTGACCAGACACATACATGCTCTGAGGCATGCATTGTATCTGGCCTGATACTAACCATGCCTATGGCAGTACCTGTAGTTTTCATTCCTATTTGTTTTAGTTTAGTCCTGTCTGATCCCTGGTCTTGGAGCCTGAGGGGATCAGAGTTAAGCACAGCACAATCACCTCTAACTAGAATACATGATACAAGGCTTCAGCCGGATAAGAATCACTTCTCAGCCATTCCCCAATTTCCTTTCTCCAGCAGCTCAAGCACCACATTCCTGTAAGCTCCAGTCCTTTTCCTTGCTCTCCATGTGCCCAAAAGCAATCCTGCAAATTGACACAGGCTGTCACATGTAAGGCCCTTTCCATCCAGGCAAGGGCACTTATCACCTGATACATGAAGAATTCTGCATTTTAAATGCTTCTAAAAACAGATGGGCCAGAGCTAATCTTAGCCACAGCCTGAGTGCCAACATACGTCACATAACTCAGCTTTATCACTGCAGAAATCACACAAGGTAAAAAGATGTTTGGAACCAGCTTGCCATATTGATTTATACTAAGTGGCCTTTGCTCAGCTTTTTGGATTCTTATTCAACTCATGAGTTGTGACCTGCCAAGAGCAAGGTCAGGTCTTACAAAGTCAGTCATAGCTCCAATAACTCCCTGCACTGAGCGAGTGAGGAGCGTGCAGGTATGCGAAGGGCTGAGCAGGAATTTTAGCCAAGGTGCTGGAACCACAAGAGAAAAAACCAAGGGAGTTCTGGCTGTCTTCCAGGGATGTTATCATGCCCCAAGGAGGCCGCTTAATCCCATTTATGGAACCCTGTAGTTTCATTAGGTGAACCACTGGGAGTAAGTGAATTTTGTAACTGCAGCTTCATGCGATACTCACCAGGCAAAAAGAGACACTGGGGAAAAAAAGGAAAAAGGACTCCAGCATGGCTGAGGAGGAGAAAATGGGACAATGGGCTTTGTTGTAAGATGACTGCTGGGAGTGTTCCAGGAGAGGAGTGTTTTCCAAAGCCTGAGAAAAACAAAATGCACCAAAACAACCTAAAACACACTAAAAAGACCCCAACCCAGAGCTGCTGCAGAAGAGCCTGGGAAGCTGGGGAGCACTGCTTGTGTCTGCCCTGCCATTAAGAATAAGCCAGTGCACTGCAGGTACAGTGACCAGAACCCCTGAAGCAGCTAAGGGGGCATGTGGGGCCCAAGCACTAGAACAAGGTGGGGTGTGATGGTGCAAACAAAGTCACCATGTGTGAATCTGAGCTTCTCATCAGTCCATTAAGTTGTATCATTCCTGACAAGCTTTTCACTCCAGGGAAAAAGAAACTGAAGGGATAGGGTCTAAGGAGTTGTCACTAGCCTGTGCCAACTTTGGAGTTCTGCATTTTGCAGGCTGCTTGGAAATTCACACTCCATTCCTAATGCACCCTCAGAGCTTTGGAGGTTTTACCATTTGACCCTTGCATCAACCACCTGGGTAGGAATGGGGGTTTTCTCCTGGTTTTCTCCAGAAATAATTTCCCCAGTGCCTACTGAAGCCTGTTAGTTTAATGTTCAGCAGAGATGCAGCAGCCAGACTTGTCCTTTGCCAGCCCATCCACTGTGCCCTGGCTTTGCTTGGAGCTTGGGAAAAGGTAAGAAAACAGCCATGCTCTGCTTTGTGCTGGTAGAATAAGTGGTTTAGCACAACAGGAACAAACAGGAACTATTTTTGGACCTTTTTAGATCTGGGAGTTGGTCTAGCAGCGTACCTCCTTTGCGTTGATTGTGTAGTTCACTGCCTGCTGATTGACAGCCATCAGTCTCGTGCTGGGCTCAAGTACACTGAGAGCCACCTGCACAAGCAAAATCCAATAAAGTTATATTTAAGTTTAAAAAAAAAGCAACATCAGAAAACAAACTTGGATTAACCCCAGGATTCTTTGCCATGGAAACAGGTTGCTTAGAAACTACCCCAGCGTTAGTCTGAAATGTGAAAGTCAAGTTGTTCTTTAAGCTGCACGGCACTCCGGGTTATCGGAGATAATCACACACCTCAGGCCACTGCAGCACCAGAGGCTGTGGAGTTCTCCAGGGACCACCAAGCTCTTGGGGGTGGCTCTCTGCAGAGCAGCTGATGGGGAGAGGCTGAGGGAGCAGAGGTCTTCTCTGGGAATCAGGACCACAGCCTGATTTGGGTTGGAAGGGACCTTAAAGCTCCTCCAGCTCCAACCCCTGCCATGGGCAGGGACCCCTTCCACTGGAGCAGTTTGCTCCAAGCCCCTGTGTCCAACCTGGCCTTGAACACTGCCAGGGATGGGGCAGCCACAGCTTCTCTGGGCACCCTGTGCCAGCGCCTCAGCACCCTCACAGGGAAGAGCTTCTGCCTAAGAGCTCATCTCAGTCTCCCCTCTGGCAGGTTAAAGCCATTCCCCTTGGCCTGTCCCTACAGGCCCTTGTCCAAAGCCCCTCTCCAGGTTTCCTGCAGCCCCTTTAGGTATTGGAAGGATACGAGAGCCCAGGTTGTGCCCATGCTGGAGAAGCAGAAGCCAGCTGAACAGTATTCCCCATTCCTATGTTTACTTCACAGTGACTCATCTTGCCTGGCCCTATCTGCCCCGCCACACGGAGAGAGGATTGTTCCCGAGCAGCTGCCCAGCACCCATCCTGAGCTGGGGAAGCCACTGGGACCTGCTGTTTGCTGGCAGCAGCGCGCTCATGCTGCCACGGCCAAGCGAGCACCAGCAGCTTGGAGAGCTGGTGTGGGGCTGGCAGGAGGTGCCAGCCCTGCCCCTGGGGCCAGGCCTGTCCTCCTGTGTCCCATCAGAGAGCTGCAGGAACAAGGAAGGGGAGCAGGAGCCCCGTGAGCTCACCTACATCCAGCCGCTCCCAGGAAGGAGGTTCATTGCCCATGGCTTTGGGGCACGTCCAGGCTGGTTCCTCAGGAGCAGACCGATAGGAGCCACAGCACCCACAGGAGGGGACGCTGCCAGCAGCTTGCAGGGACATCTCCCCTCGTTGCTGTGCAGAGACCTGCGCCGAGAGAGAGGCGAGGGGTTAATGGCAGACAGGGAAAAGCAACAGCTTTGGCTGCTCATGGTGTAAGGGTCACCCAGCCACAGGATTGTTGTGAGGTGAGGGAGCTTTCTAGTGCCTTCATTTCATTTCTGTGCTCTCCCAGGTTCCCCTCAGCACCGTGCTCCCTCTCACAGGAGAGCTGCTAAACAGGATTCCTGCCTGGTTTAGGTAGGAAATGAGCTCACTCGAGGGGTGCAGATTCTTCAGGGAGAGTTCGGACACAGTGGGGTCTGCATTTTGTGTGGCTTTTGGAGCAGGTGATCTTTGATTTTAGAGAGGGGAGCTCCGTCCAGTGCTGCTTGCGGGGACAGACAGACCCACCTCTGCCCCTCCCATCGCCTCATCCCACTGCTCTCCTCATGGTTTCGTGACTGATTTCAGTGGACGCTGCTTCTCAAACCCCAGGACAGGCCTGGCTGAGCCCAAAGGTTACTGCAGGCAGAGCTGGCAGGGGAAATGAGCAAGTGCAGGTCATGCCAACCAGCCGTTCCCTCCTGGGAGCTTCCTGCTCTCCAGCAGGACTGTCCAGAGGCTTTGCAATGGGGCTCACAGCTGGAGGCAGGAGGGTGCTTGCTCAGAGATCAAATCCCTGGCTTACCCGAGGTATTGACATTCACAGTGAAAACCATCAACACAGTGTAAAGCATTTGAGGAGCTGCCATTCCTCCTCCATTCCATTGGTAAGGAAGGAGGTGTGGGGTTTGTTTGGTTTTAAAGAAAATCCTGCTTTGTGAAAGGTGCTGTGCAGAAGAAAGACAATTTGGAGGCAGCAAATAAGGATTAGGATACAATGCCCTCAATACAGCGTTTAACCTTACCTGTGGCAGCTGCCCAGGAACCCCCTTGTGTTCACCACCCAAAATGGAGAGCAGTCCAGTGAGCTGACCCCTCATTTGCCAAACCCAGCGAGGGTGCTGACCAACATCCACACCTTGCTTTAGGAGCGCTGCAGATCCAGAGCATCCTGGGTGTGAGCAGCACGTGCGTACGCTGCAGTCACCTCCCAGTGCTTGGGACAGGCTTTTGCCAGACCAGAGCCTGGGTCAGTTACTCAGCAGGTGCTGGGCTGATGTCCATAACTTGCTGGGCAGAACAGGTTTTCTCCCACTTGCCAGCAGCTGTGAAACAGCTCCACTGTCTTCTCTTGAGCACAGGAGCCATTTTAATGGTGCTCTCTAATGCGCCTCTGTTCAAGCTGGCAGAGCACATCAGAGCGTCCCGCAGCTCTGCTGAGGGCCCTGCTGGGTGCCAAGCAGAAGCCCTTCTCACTCCTTCCTTTCTTCCCACCGTTTCCCAGTGTTTTCCTCCACTTAATGGCCGTGGACCCTGACTGGACATGGCTCTTGCTGACAGAGACCTGCTGCCCGCACGGGTACGAGCCCCCCCACGCCAGCCTGCGCCCGGTGAAGCTGGCAGGGATGGGGAGGCAGCGGAATGAGCTGACGGACAACGTGCGGCTGCTGCTGGAGCGGCTGCGGCAGCGGGAGAGCGGAGCCCAGGAACCCCCTCCCTGAGGGAGCTCTGAAGTGGCTGGAGCGGGAGAGGAGCTGCCGGGATGGAGCTCACCCAGGAAGAGGCCGGGATCTGGAGCCCGGATCGTGCGGGGCAGAGGAGGAGCCGCCTGTTCTAAACAGCAGTCGAGGTGAGGTGGGTACATTGCTCTGATTCCTCCTGGCCTGGTGCTGGGCAGGGCTCCGAGGGTCACAGCACATCTGCTTCAAGGGCTTCAGTACCAAGAGCGAGTCATTTTCCAGAACTTACTTCCCAGCTCTGGATCCTTGGCCAGTGCCCCTGCAGCAGCCACCCCACTCCTCCGACCTCACAACTGGCATCCTTTCTCCTGTTCTCTGCTTGACAGCAATTGACAACTCAGAAGCCCATTTCTGGCCTTAACCCTTCCCAGGAAAGGATCCAGTCTGGGTGCGTTAAAGCCATTTTCTTTGTAAAACCAATTGATATCAGAAAAGTTAAAATGCATTTCCAGTAAATCCTCACCAGTATTCCCAGCAAGAGCAACAGATCCTCTGAGGAACATCAAGGCTGCTGCTGAGACCAGGCAACTGCATTGTGCTCCAAAGTCCCACCACAGAGCAGGATTAGAGTGTGACCAGATGTGCCAGTGAAACCCAGCCCTGGCTGACAGCTTGCAGTGAGTGAAGGCTCCTCCTGCCTCCCCAGTGGCCTGCCATTTCCACAGGGCATTTCTGACCCCTCTCCATCACCCACCCTGAGGAGACCTGGATGAAGTTATCTACCTGTGCCCTGTGCAGCCTCCAGGGTGCGCGCAGACGCGGTCAGAGGAGGTGACAGGAGGTGTGAGCATGGCAGTGCCATGGTTTGCAATGCAGCAAGCGGGGGGGACAGCCAGTCCCTGGGGTCTCCTGCTGCCCCTCGGAACACGCAGGGCTCACAGGAACCCGCTGCAGCTCCGGGTCCTCCAGGCTCCATCGCAGACAATCTGCAGCCGGCTGCTCCCAGACCGTGTCTCTGGGATTCAGCTCCTTCACCCCGAGCGGCTCCTGGCAGCTGCAGCACCCACAAGAGTTCTGTGCTGGGGGAGCAAAGGGACAGACTGTGACTGCGAGTGTGGGAGCAAGCTCAGAAAGGCAAAAACCAAAGCAATAAACTGATGGTGACATGGCACAGGCTTTGAGCATCACTGCTGGGGATCCCGGGTGAGCATCCAAAACGTGTCTTGATGGTTGGAACCAAGGGGGCTGGTCCTCCAGGAAACACACAAATGGATGGCTTTTTAGCAGCTAGGACAGGGCTGCAGCTCAGCTTCTGCCCTTTCATGCTTTGTGGATACACACGCCGACTGTTTAACACGGGGCTGGATTTTGCACAGAGGTGCCCCGCAGAGCTGAGCTGATGGGAAGACGGGAGAGGTGGGAGAGGAAACCTTTAGGCTCCAGAGCACCCCAGGACTGGCACAGGGTTTTGGGGGTTGTAGCACTTAGTGGAGCTCACCCCTCGGGTTCATGTGCTCACGCCAACCCTCTGCTGGTGGTGTGAGCTGGTCCCTCTGGGAAGCAGAATCCTTCTGGATTCACCTGCACCGAGACAAGCCCCCCCCCCATCCGGGCCCCAGCACAACCAACTGCACCAAGACCCCCGGTGCCCTCATCCGGTGTCACGGCTCTCCCGGACCCCCCCGGCGCCGCCGTCACAGCCGCCTGTCACGGCTCTCCTCAGCTTCGTTATCACCCCTGCTTTATTACAGGCAGAGTAAATTGCTTTTGTCTGAAGCAGGATAATGGCCAGAAGAGCGACTGCGTGGAAATGGCATTTTCATGAGGCTGGTTCCTCCCCAGCAGTGACTTGCATATTAAGCTCAGCCCGTTCACAAGCGAGCCGGGGGCTGCTCCACTGCCCTGCCCGAACCCCCTTCCCCACGGCAGGCACCCGAGCAGCACCCAACGTGCCAGGACCAGGGACCGAGCTGGGGCAGCACCCAGGGTGCGGAGGGTGCCCAGCTCCACTGAGCACCTTCAATGCCCTGGAGGATGCGGAGCTGGAGGGGCTGCACAGGGGCTCAGCCCTCCCCAGGGGCAGGGAGCGGGGCTGCTCCAAGCATCTTCCCCAGGGATGAGGGGCAGAGAAACCCGTGTCCAGCCACCTCCTGCACACACAGACCCAGGGCAGAGCCCCACACACAGCCCGTGGGTCAGGTGCTGCCAACGGGGGTGCTGGGTCCTGCTCACACGTCCCGCAGGTCCCTCTCCTTTGGCTCCAACGCCAAAATTTCCCCTAAACTCGGCAAAATTAATCTCTGCTAATAAAACCCGTTCGTTTTAAAGCTCGCCTCTGGGGTCTGCAGGTGACTCCTCCACACAGCGGTTTGTTTACTCGCCACTGGAGGTGATTTGCAGCCTCTCACCCTCCCCAGCGCAGCCCGGCTCTTCCTTTCCCTCCAAGGCAGACGGCGCCTCCCGCTCCCCTCCTTCCCCCGGGGCGCGGGTCCCTGACCGGGAACCCAAGCGCAGCCCAAGCCCCGCGGCTGTGGCTGCCTGTGGCAAAGCAGAGCTGCCACCAAGAGCCCCCCTGCCCTGCAGCCCCCGAACCCCTCCCTCCTGGCAGCACCTGCGTGCTCCCCTCCCCGCCTCCGGTGCCCCTTGCTCCGCCGGGACCGGGCTTTGCAGCTGGGAGCCAGGCCGGGCGCAAGGGACTCGGTGGCTCTCGCCGCGGTCACCAGCAGCGCCGTGCCCGTCCCCAGCCCCCGGGCAGCGGCCGGTGCTTTTGTTACTCTAACCCATGACAAAGGGCTTCAGATGAGCAAAGCAGAGGCGAGGCGAGGGGAGCGCTGCCGAGCCCCAGGGAGCAATGAACCGCAAAGCAGCCGGGGGGCTCCCGGCAGATGGGGCCGAGTCAGCGCTGCCACTGCCGGGAGCTCCTCACCCAGAGCAGAGCCTGACCCAGGGGCAGCCCCCAGCACCCCACTGCAGGGACCCAGCCTCCTGCCTGGCCAGAGACGAGGCTTTGCTCTGGTGCCCAGGCAGGGATTGAAGCTGGTGCCCAACAGCACAGAGGGGCCAGACCCCAGCAGCCCGCCCAGCCTCACCACAGCACCCAGCGCCCCATGGCCATGGTGTGGGGCAGGCCCAGCTCACCTGGGACCTGGTTGTGTCCTGCACCCGTGGGGCAGCGTCACCCCACTCCCAGCCAGAGCAGAGCAGGAGGTGGAGCTCCCCAGCTGCAGCTTTTAAATGCTCTGACCCCTCAGCTGCAGGTGATGACGAACATCATCACCCACACCCCAATCCCATCCCATCCCCACTGCCCCCAGCCCACCAGCCCCAGGGGCAGCCCCAACTGTGCCTTTTAGCCAAGACAGTGCCAAAGCCACCTCCCCTCCCTGTGCCAGGCACAGAGACCGCAGACCCACAGAGGCTTCGTTTAAAGAGCTTTATTAGCTGCAGCAGGTCTGGTGTGGCAGGGAGCAGCACCCAGCACCCTGGCAGGGACACCGGGGCCCTCCCATCCCTCCCCACAGCCCCATCCCCAGCAGTGGCATTTGCCCACGTGCCATTGGCAGCCACGCGGAGCCTGTGGCCCAGGCCAGTGCGGTGCTGTGGCACAGGAGGAAGGGATGCTCAGCCAAGCGGCACCGGCACGGGCAGTGGGGACAGAGCGAGGGCGGATGGGGCTCGTGGCCAAAGCCCCCCTTCCTCCATGGAATGCAAAGGGCCGGGAGGAGCAATGTGTGAAAGCGGGGCCAGCTCCCATGGCACAGCTCACATGGGGGCCGCCGGCAGTGCCTGGCTGGGCAACGCGCGGCACAGCCCATGGCACCACAGCCGTGCCGGGAGCGTGCCGGGAGCATGCTGCACCGTCCTTCTCTGCTGAGCTCAAGCCTTGATGCGCTGGGGCAGCTCTGGGGCAGGCAGGGGCAGGGGCAGGTGATTCACGTGGTCTGTAAGATGGATGCTGGAACTTATACACAGAGCGGGGCTGAGCAGAGCAACTAAACCGGGGCTCCTACGGGAACAGGAGGAGGTTTCTGCGAAGCACGAGGGAGGGCAGGGAGGGTCCCACAGGCAGAGGGGTTCCACCGGGCACCAAAGCTGGGGCACAAAGCGGCCGGTGGCACCGCGGTGGCAGCAAACAGCAGGGCACCCCCACATGGCACCAGTGGGATGGGGACCATCACCAGCCCCAGTGATGCCCCTGTCATGGACACGGTCCTGCTCCCGCACCGAGCCCTGGCGCCGCTGCACCACGGGGCTGGGGAAGAGACCGACCCGGTGCTGGCCGGCGGGAGGAAGAGGAGGAGGGCGAGGGGGTCGATGGGCAAGATGGGCGGCGGGGCCAGTCTCTGGCAGGGGCACGGGACCCCCGAGGGCTCCGCTGAGTCCGGGGCATGGGGGGGGGCTGCGGCGTCCCCCCGGCACCGCCCGCCTACAGCGCGCAGGAGGCGTCCGCCGAGCGCTTCCTCAGCTCCTTCCCGGCCTTGTGGTGGTGGTGGTGGTGGTGAGCGTGCCCCGAGCCGGGCTCCGGCAGCGCTGCTCCATGCGGCTGCGTGTCCTGGGGGTGCCCCGTGCCCCCCGGCGCCTCCACGCGCAGGTACGCCTTCACCTTGTGGTGCCGGGCCTGGCCGTCGCTGGAGTCGATCACCCGGCACTCGTACGTGCCCTCGTCCTCCAGCTTCACCCGCGACAGGCGCAGCTTGTGGGAGATGTTGCTGCCGACCACCTTCACCACCTGCGGCGGGCACACGGGGGTCAGGCGCCCGTGGGGACCCCCGCTGACACCCAGCGCAGCGCCCCCTCCGTGGGTCCCAGGGGACGTGGCAAAGGTGGGGGACCCCGGACGCCGGGGTGACGCCGTCCCTGCGGGGGGCTCGGGATCGATGCGCATCCGCGCCGGTAATTAGCTTTCCTACCAAATTGATTCGCTCTCAGTATTTATCACCCCATGAAATTTAAGACTCACTCGCTCGCCAGAGCCGGGGCTGCTGCTGGGCTAGGTCAATAAATCACATTTATGACCGGCCCCAGGCCCCTGCCTCTGTTCCCTATAATCACGCCGGACGGCAAAGGCCATTTTTCTGCTCGCCGCTGCGTTTGTTAGCTGAAGATTTTATGGTGTTTAGAAAGAGGGCCCAGGCCAAGGCAGGCTCCGAGCCGTGCCCGGGATGGGGCAGGGGCTGTGCGCTGGGGGAGATGAGTGGGTGCTGGTGTGAGTGAGCTGGGTGCTGAAGGAGCTTCAGAAAACACCTTCGTGTCAGCAGAGCCAGGAGGCACCGAGGTGGACGGGGGGGAAGTTCAGAACTAATGCAAGAAAAGCCCAGTTTCCTGTTGGAGCCCTGCCCCGCAGCTCCCCAGCCTCAGCCCGCGCCTCGGCCACGGCAGGGATGAGTTTATGACCTGTTGTGATGCTTGTGGCTTCCTGCTGCCCTGAGAGACCCCCGCGCTGGTCAGGCCAGACAGACACAGCAGTGCCCAGCCCCAGCTCAGCCCCCAACGTGCCGCGCTCAGCACCAAAACGGGTTAAAGAATGCAAGATGAGGTGGGAAATAAACCCAGACCCGTGGTGTTTGCTGCTGCCACATCTGGGCAGAGCCGGCGCCGGCCTCTCCAGCGCCAAGTGTGTTTTGGCAGAGGAAGCCTGGCCCAGGGCTGCCCGACGCGGCTGTTTCTGTGCGATTTACATCGTCTCGCACCGCCTGGCACTGCCGTTTGCTCTCAGTCACTTGCTGCTGTGGCTGTAACGTGGGGTTTATCAGAGGGGCTCGTGGTGCCTTTGCCCATGGTCATTCATCGCCTCCGTTTGGAAACACTTCAGACTCAGGGACGTTTAAAACAACAGAACGAAGCCGGTTGGACACCCACGCCTCCCGCTGGCTCTGCAGGAGGCAGCAGAGCTGCTGCACCCCGAGCACTTCAGATACCCCCGGTTACACCGCACCCGCATCGGCAGCACCGGGCACAGCGGTGGAGCTGAGCCGAGCCCAGCGCCCGCCTCACCCCTCCTGCCGTGGGGACCCCCTGTGCTCTGCAAGGGTGAATGAAGAGCCTGCAGCAGGAGGGTGGGAAGCACCTTCTGATGCTGCTGTTTCAGTGGCACCCCCAAGCACAGAGCCCCCCAAGGTTGGGAGGGCCGGGGGGGGTCATGCTGCCAGCAACAGAGGAGCGTCTCCTCATCCTGCTCACGGGAACCCGGAGGGCTTTGGGATGCCAGTCCCTGACTAAATTAGATTCATTTTCTCCTCAGCGTCAGCGTGTCCCTGAGATGCCTCCAGGAGCCGGTCGGGGCTCACATCCAGGCTGCAGCCCCCAGTGCCGGGGGCCCCTGACACCCCCCAGCCCCAGGACACCTTGTCTGGGGCACCGGCCTCGCACGGACACCAACCCTGGGGACCCTCCTGCTCCCCTGCCCTGCGCAGCGCCGGGCACCAGGAACCCTCCCATCCCGCTGCCGGCGGCCCTGCAGGAGCCATTATCCCCACTCACGCTTATTTTAGTCGCGTCCTTCCCAGGCTCCTCCTGCGGCGAAGCTTTCAGGTGCTGGAAGAGCGGGATGGGAGAGACCAGAGAGGGAAGAGAAACCGTCAGCTCGGCTGCGAGGAGGCAGGAGCCCGGGGTGGCTGCTCCGTGGAGGAGGAGAAGGGAGAAGGGGAAGGGAGAAGGGGCTGCTCAGCCCTGGCAAACTCGGGCACCCTGGGCAGGTGGGAGCCATACAAGGCCCATGGGAAGGGGTGGGAGCACCTCAGTGGCTGGAGGACACAGGGTGCCTGCCCGTGGGTCCCCACTGCATCCAGCTCCATCAGTGGGTGCTCCCCATGACCTGGGCTGGGCTCGATGCCCGCTCCAACCACCCTCGCCCTGCAGCCCCTGGCAGCTCTGAGCCAGCGGCAGCTTCGCGGATGCTGCTCAATTTATGGTAATACCAGCAGCAGCTCTGCCAAAGACACAGTAATAAAGGCTCATTAAAATACCTAAAGCTGCCTTCCCATTATTTGGCCCTTATCTCTGTGTGAACAGAAAGAGAAATAGACAGCTGTTTGCCGAGACCAGTACACACAGAAATAGGGAAAACAAGGGAGGGCTGGAGGGGGAGGATGCAGGGATGGGACGGACGCAAGGGCAGTTGTGATGAGATGGGAGAAGGCAAAAGCACCAGGGCAAAGCCTCTGCCTGGGTCAGTCCCCAGGGGTGGGATAACTGGAAAGGGTGGCCAGGACAGCCCAGCCCTGTGCACTGGAGCATCCTCAGTGCAGCGGGATGCTGTGCACCCCACACATGGTCCTGCAGGACCAGTCAGTGCTGCTGCTGCTGCAGGACAGGGACCCCCCTGAGCCTCAAATGCTGCTGCAAGGGAAGTCCCATGAGAGCTCTGCCTCTCACTGCTGCTGCTGGATGGGGAGGACGAGGGGCATTACCTGGTTGGAAGCCCACGTCTGTTTGTCTGCCCAGTCCTTGTGGTTGCGGACGTACCACCACTGTATCTCCAGGGAGTAGGAGGGGGAGCCGGTGCCGCGGAAGGAACACGCCATCTCCACATCCTCGCCCGCCTGCGCCGTCATGTCGTGGGGGGTCTCGGTGAAGAGGGCTGCAGGAGACAGAGCGAGGGCTGCGGGGATGTGCCACTGTCACAGCAAGGGGCGCATGATGCCACCGCCCATGCGAGCAGGGCCACCAGGAGCACCAGGACCCATCCAGGGCAGACAGACCCAGCCCCCGACCCTTTGCCAGGGGCGGTGGCAGGAAAGGGAGGGAGCAGAAGCCTCTGAGTCCCCCCCCCACCTCCCCCTGGGACCTTGCCCCAGGGTGACAGGGCCCCAGTGCACCTCGGATGCTGAATACAGCATCCGCTTAGATCAGAGCACAAATGAAAAACAAATCCCTGTTTAACGCGGCCTCAAACACTCTCCCACATGCCATACGGTTTGTTTTCCTTGCTCAAAACAAATATTGTTCGGAGATGTAATTAGAATTCTTTTCATCTCCTCTGGAGGGATCCTTGCTCCTCTGTAACAACGGCCCCAGCGCGCGGGTCACTGCCAAATGCATCCCCACAGCCTGCGGCAGGCTCTCCGCGGCACGGCACGGGCACGGGGCTGAGCCTCCAGCACCAGCACAGCCAGCCCGGGGCTGCCAGAGCCCCCCGTGCCCCTGATGCTGTTTTGGCCGCAGAGGAGGTGGGGCTGGGACAGGGTCCTGCTGGATCTGCCCTCGCACCTTCGCCAGGCACCTCGTGCCACCGGCACTGCCGGTTCACAGCCACCACGCAGGTCCCTGCGGTGCCATCACAGCCCCCCGGGACCCAGGCCCGCTCGGAAGCAGCGCGCAGCTTCCCACCAAGCCCTGATCCCCTCTGAAAAAGAATTACTATCAGCCCAGACGGAAAAGTTAATACCTTCGGTATCTCCCGGTCCCTCCGGCCGCATGAAATCCCCTATACTTATCACTTCCCTTTAATCCATCTTAGCAGGGGAGCTGAGGGAAATACCCAGCACAAGGCTCCCACCACCCTGGGGCTCCCGCCGGGTTCCCAGCACGGATCCTGCAGCCCCTTTGCCCAGGACCCAGCACCAGCAGCCGGCAGGGGCGGGGGGGGGGTGTCTGTGCCGGGGGGATCCGACTGGGAACAGCACCAGGGGTTGAGGGAAGGGCAGGAGGGTCCGGCACTGCCCGGCACGTGGCAAAGGCACCTCCAGTCAACGTTCACCCACCCTTCCCCAGCCCCAGCCCGGGATGGGGGTTCTCCTCCGCGGGATTCCCAGTGGCAGGAGCAATGGACAAAGCCAGAGGGTCCTGGCAGAGCCTGCACCAGCCCAGACAGGGGCAATGGCCAGAGAGCTTCTGCCCTGTCCAGGTTACTCTGAATTAAAGCCTGGTCCCACTGATGGGATTTGGCAGCCGAGCAGAGAAAAGGCCTGATTGAATCAGGCGCCTCCTTCCTTTCAGGTTTTAATTGGGAAGCGCGTGTATTAATTAACCCCAGAGCACAGCCAAAGCAGGGCAGGTCCCACCGGTGGAGCTGCCTGGACACCCCCCCCCCCCCCCCCCCCCCAGCACCCCGGGAACCGTGAACCCCATTGATCCCCCCCAGCCCTTCCTCGCCTCCCCAGGGCCGCAGCTGTGAGTGACACGCTGGGAACTCGGGACAGACAAGGCATCAAGCGCCTGCTGATGGATGGATGGATGGATGGACAGCAGGGTCTGACAGCAGGGGGAAGGTGAGGCCGGTCCCTTCCTCCCTGCGCATCCCGGCTCTTTATCCTTCCCTTCCGCCTCACTGCCCGCTCCCTCCATCCCAGCTTCCCACACAGGGCTCCTCTGCGGGAAGGGGCTCCAGGACCCCAGTGCCAAGGGACACCCCAGCAGCCGCCCTAGGACACCCAGATCAGGGGCAACGGGGCCACCGCCAGCCCCGGATCCACATCAGGACAGTCCCCCCCATGAGAGCGGAACGTGGTGGGGCAATGAGCAGCCCCATGGCTGGGCACAGAGCCGGGTCCCCGCGGCACCGCTGCTAGGATGGGGCTTTGGTGCTGGAGCTGCTCAGAACCATCCCTCTCCCCACTGCTGCCATTGGTGCCGCATCCTGGCGGCAGGAGGGGGGCCGGTGCTGGGCTGGCTGCCGCGTGCTTTATGGCCTGGTACCTGTCATAAACTGGGAAAATCAGGATCAATAAATCTTGCAGGAAACAAAAATCAGGGGAAATAAAATGAACTCAACGGGGAAACACAGATAAACAATTGAAAACGCCTGCTGGGACAGCTTGGTGCTCTCATAAACCGGAGATATAGAGGCTGCTGCTCTCCTCCCCACGCAGGCAGGATTCATTGCCATGGCCCTGCACGGCAAGGGCAGGAGGGTGGCAGGGGATGGGTGCCCCCCCCCAGCCTGTGCCAGGCTGTCCATCACCCCAGCGCCTGGAAATGACGGCCCGGCCCCTGCGCTGGACCCCTGCAGCCCCTGGAGCACATGAAGCCATGCAGCCCCTGCGAGCCTGGCCAGGACCCTGCTCACTGCCCAGCTTTGGTGCAGCCTTGCAAGGGGCCGTGCTGCCTTTCTCAGCCTCCCCAAGACACCAGCTGCAACAACCGCAACTTAAACAGGGCCGTGGGCATGCACTGGGGTCGGCGTTTGTGTAAACATGGATTGGAGGGTGGTTAAATAGGGATTGGACATTCGCAAATGCCTCTGAGTCACCCGGTTCGTGCCCACGCCTGCTCTGAGCTGTGAACCCCACCGAACCATCGCAGCACTGGTCAGGCAGATGCTCCTTTCTCTGCCTGACAGCACAGCAGCCCCTGGCAGAGCCACGGCTGGGCTGGAGGAGTGGCCAGGCAGGGCTGGGGGAGGCTGGGGAGCCCCTGGCTCCAGGGGAGGTGGACGAGGAGGAGGAGGCAGCCCTGGGCAGGCGGGTGCAGGACCGTGTCACCGGATCAGCCTCTGCCGCCCCTTGTCCCTCCCTCCGGCTGCCGCTGTTGTGCCATGGGCTGTGATCAGACGTGGTTTATTCCCCCCTCCACCGTAATTCCTGGTTTATCACGGTTCCGGGAGCCAAGACTCTCATGGACAATGTGGGCTCAGCCTCTCGCTCTGGCAGCCCCCTCTCCACTCCCCGGCAGTGGGATGGTGCCGTGAGGCACTGCCGGAAGGAAGCGGCTCTGGAAGCGGCTTCTGCAGCCCTGGGGCGAGGGGCACCTCAAGCCCCCATGGAGCCTGTCCCCAGGCGCTGTCATCAGCCATGCCCAGGCCAGCGGGTCCCCACCAACACCCAGACCTGCCTCCATCCTCCCTGGCAGAGGCGAAGGCGCAGGAGGCATCCCCCTGGATGGATCCAGGAGCAGGAGCCTGGCTGCCGCTGGACACGGGGGTTGCTGGCACTGCTGTTCCTCCCTCCTCTTCCCGTCTGCAGGTTAACATCTGGGCATGCAGCTCCTCCTGACAAGCCTGGCGCAGGGATGCTGACCCCTGGTCACCAGAATCACATCGTGGCCACAAACCGGGGCATGAACAGAGCGGCCGGGGGCACCAGGGAGGGCAGGGCAGGCGGCTCTGGCAGGGAGCAGCCGGCAGGGACGGGATGAGACCAGGGCTGGATCCAGCATCCATCCGGCTCCGCGGGAGCCCTGCTCCCCTCTGGCAATGCTGCCATCACAGGAGAAGCGTGAGGCTGAGCCCCGCGGGCGCCGGCACGGCGGGGCCGGGAGCGCCATTTCTCTGCCCCTATTTACTGTCACATTAGCAGCAGAATTAGCTCAAATTTGCAGCGTAAATGAAACCAAACCCCCCGAGCGGCTGCGTGAGGCCGGAGCTCACCTTGCGGGGAGCTCGAATTCACCTTGAAACCCGCGGATGTTCCCATCCGTTCACCGTCGCCCTCCCGCTGCCCAGGCAGCAGAACGGCAGGGAGAGACCCGGCCCCGGCTGCCAGGAGCTGCCCGGGCAAGGGGCTCCCAGCTCCATCTCCCGACTCGGACAATCCCCTCCCGAGGGCACCGCAGTTTTCCTGGGGCAGCTATTTGAGAGTGTGACCCCTCAAACCGGCTGCTGGAGCAGCTCCTGGCGGGACGCCGGCAGCGCCCTGCAGTCACCACTCACACTGGTGCTGGTCTCTGCCAGGGGATGATTCCCAATGGGCAGGGAACCTGGCAGCAGGCAGGAACCGGCATGGGGCAGACGGAAGCTCTGCTTCACTGCAGATCAGCACCCCCAGCCTCATGCCCAGCACCAGGAGCCATCAGCACTGGCAGCGCTGCCCACACCACGCATGGTGCTGGTTCCCATACCACAGAGCCAGCAGCTCCCGGTTCTCATGGGCACAGCACCCTCCTACCTGGCTCTGCCCACCCCACTACCCATGGGATCATCCTGGTCCAGCTGCATCTGGAGCACACGGTGCATGGCACCAACACATCTGGCACAGCTAAGTCCAGCCAACGACCCAGTACTTGGCCACGCACCCACCGCAGTGTGGTGGGGTGCTCCCTGGGTGCCCTGGGGAGGAGAGAGCCAGGCGGGAGATGGACCCACAGGCAAGGAAATGGCCATGAAGAAGAGCTCAGACGGACCCAGAGCCATCGTCGGGTGGGCTGGGAAGGGCTGTCCACCCCGAGGCAGGTGAGTCCTTCCTGCTCCATGAACCAGAATCCCAGTGACAGGTCCCCATCCCTGTCCTGGTGCTGTTGGTGGCTCCGGCCCCGTGCAGCTGCCCCGGCCGTGTGATTTGCTGCCTCACTCACCAGGAACGTTATGATTAAAATTAGCTGTCACTGTCCTAACGTAATAATTCCCAGTGTCTGGCCCATCGTCTGTCAGCCTCTTCAAGGGAAAAGAAAGCACAGACATTTGATGAGGAGAAGTGTCAGAAGTAATTGCATTGAATGACTGCACGAACAGCAGCAGGAAAAACACATCGGGTGGAGAATTCCCACCAGGAAGCATGAAAAAATCCGGCAGAATGCAAAGTGTTGATGAAAGTAATTGATAGAATAATCATCGGGTGTGAGAGAAGGAGAAGGGCAGCGCCCCAGGGAGCCAAGGCTCCCTCCAGCCCCAGCCCCAGCCGCGGCCCCAGGGCCGGTGAGACGCCGGTGCTCAGGAAGGATGCGGGGACGGAGCCGCCGCTGCTCCAGCTGCTCACCCAGCGGCGGCCCCTGCCCTGTGCCGGGAGCCGGCCGGAGCTTCCCAGGCAGCGCCGCTTCGCAGGCGATGGCACCAGCCCAGCGTGCAGAGGCTCTGCAATGGGGGGCATGAATAATTGAAGGCGCCAGCCTGAGCAGAGAGCGGAGACGAGAGAGGAGGGGAGAGCAGAGCAGAGGCAGCGCTGTGGGCAGGGGAGGGATGGATGGTGAGGAAGGAGCCTGCGGCTCAGGCGCTCCTCCAGGGCAGCAGGGCAGACGGAGCCCATCCTCGCTCCATCCTCGCTCGTGTCAGAGCCTTCCCCGTGGGGGCAGGAAAAGGACTTTCCCTGACCGAGACTTTGTCCCTTGGCAGCAGCCCGCCTGCCCATGGCTCCCGCCTGCCCAGCAGCAGCGTGGAGCTGCCTCGGCCGCCTGCAGAGCACACGGCTCCCAGCCCCTTCCCTCGCTGCATCTGCTGTGGGCAGGATACAGGTAACAGCGATGGCAGGGCCAGGCTGCAGAGGCTGCTCTGGTCGCCTGCACCAGGCAGAGATGCCAGTGAGCTCCTGGCACTGCCTGCAGCGGGCAGAGCCTGGCAGGGCCCCACCGGCCCCACTGAGCACAGATGAATCCATCCCATCATCCCCGGCCTCTCTCCTGCCCCGCATGGAGGAGAAGCTCCACCAGCGAGTAATGAAATGATCAATCTCTGATAGGCTAAACAGCGATTTATACAGGTTTTCAACACACACAGCTTTTATCAAATTGGTATTCACCTACTGAACACAAACGGCTTATTATACATGACCCACTTATTCACTGCTTTTCAGTATCGTTAATAAAGGTTTCTGTTGTGATTAAGTGAGTTGCTGCAGAACTGCTCATAGTAGCAAGCTGTAATGTGGCTCTGAAGTGCACTCGCCCTCCCAGAATATTTCTTCTCCTTGGCTCCCTGCTCCCTCTCAGCGACCATTTCACTATTTATTTGCCTATTGCTGAATTTCTGAGGGGAGCAGCAGCGGCTAATGGAGGCTCTTTGCCCACATCTCCTTCCGGCACGCCAGGCCGGCAGGTCCAGAAATCCTCCTGCATTCCTCCCCCAGCACAAGGCAGAGCATCCCTGCCCAGACAGGCGGGTACCCGCTGGACCAGGCACTGTGTTCCCGTGGGAACCAGGGCCTGGCGAGCCTGGAGGCTCCTCGGGGCAGGGAGCTGCTCCAGCCACAGGCCGCAGCCCCGGAGCCTTGTGACGGGAATGGCTGCAATGGGGGCAAAGGCACCCAGCACCCTGTGCCCTCTGCTGGGGCTCAGATTTAAACCCACCCGTGTCAGCTGCAGGGAGCAAGGAGGGTCTCGGTGCTCTTCCCAAGGGGGGGTTGTCTCCTGTCACCTGCTCCGTGCCCCGGGGGTGGGAATTACCCCTGGCTGGGAGAGTGTTTCAGACAGGGGCGCAGAGAACGACTCCATCCCAGCTCCCGGCTGGACCCTGCCAGGCTTGGCAGCACCACGGAGCCACCGACCCGCTGGGGCACCGAGCACCGGAGTCGGCAGAGCAGGAACAGAAGACTGGAGAGTGGCTCCCGCTGCCAGGGGCGGGTGGCAGCACACGGCGGTGCACGGGGGGTGCATGGGATGCACGGGGGGTGCATGGGATGCACGGGGATGCACGGGGGGTGCATGGGATGCACGGGGGTGCACGGGGGGTGCATGGGATGCACGGGGATGCACGGGGGGTGCATGGGATGCACGGGGGTGCACGGGGGGTGCATGGGATGCACGGGGATGCACGGGGGGTGCATGGGATGCACGGGGATGCACGGGGGGGTGCATGGGATGCACGGGGATGCACGGGGATGGACGGGGGGTGCATGGGATGCACGGGGATGCACGGGGGGTGCACGGCTGTGCAGGGGGTCGCACCGTGCGAAGCCCCGGGCTTGGCAGCGCAGCGGCGGAGGCAGAGGCCGCCCCCCGGGCCCCAGGGACGGGAGCGGCGGAGCCCAGCCCCGGTTCGCCCGGGCCGCCTCCCGCTCCCGGAGCCGCCGCCGCCGCCGCGAACGGCGCCGCGGAGCTGCCGCCGGCGGCGGAGCCCAGCGCGGACCCCGGGTTCTTCCCCCCCTCCCGCCGCCCGTCCCGCGGCCCCCGAGACGGCACCGGTGGCACCGCGCCCTGCGACCGCCTCCCGCCACCCCCGGGGGCAGCCGAGCCCCGCTCCCTGCCCGCCGCCCGCGCTCACCGCTGCCCGCCGCCGGGGCGTCCCACGGGGGGTGCCGGGAGGCGGCGCCGAGCTGCAGGTAGAGCCCCAGGTAGTGCAGGATCCCCAGCGCCAGGCCCAGGCCGCCCATGGTGCCGCGGGCGCCGCCGTCCCGGGGCCGGCGCTGCCGCGGGGCCGAGCCGTGTCCCCGGGGCTGCGCCGCGGTCCCGCCGCCGCCGCGCTGCGGAGCTCTTCTCTCGCGCGGAGGGCGCCGCGCGCCGAGGCGGTGCCGCGGCTCAGCCCGGAGCCTCCCCCGCCCGGCGGAGGGATCCCGGCCCCGCGCGCACACACGAAGTTTTTCCCACGGTTCATTCTTAAACTGCGCGGGGCGGGGCCGGGCCGCGAGACCCCCCCGGGACCCCCCAGCCCCGGGCACGGCGCCCCCGGCGGGGGCGGGGAGCGGGGCCCGGGTGGGCACCGGGGTGGGGGGTGCCCGGTGCGGTGCCCGGCAGCAGGGCCCCCGGGGACCCTCGCGGGGCTCCCCCCGGCACCGGCCGCGGGTGCATTTGTTATAACCCCCCCCCCCCCCGTACCAGGGCTCGTGTCCTCGGGACAGGGGGCACACAGGGGCTCAGAGCCCTCGGCCGGAGCCGGGCGGGGGCGAAGGGGCTGCTCCGTGTAACCGCACCGGGACAGGGCCGGCAAACCAGCTCCTGCCCCGAAATGCCACGGGCACGGTGCCCGCTGCCCTTCAGCCACTCAAAGCTTGAGGCCAGACCCAGCACCAGCGCCGGCCTTTCCCGGCCCCACGGCTCGTGGCACCCCAGCACCGTGACCCCGACACCAGCACCGCGGCACCACAGCCTGCACCATTCGCACCTATTTTGAAGTCTAAAAGCATAAACATGGGCTGGGAGCGCAGCGCAGCCCTCTCTCTCTCTCTCTCACACACACACACACGGTGTTATCTGCGCGCCGTATGGCAGCCTGAAGGGTGTCTGAGCTCCAGATAAACGGTAAAAATCAGATTATTTCAGGTGTTTTCTGCCATATGATGACAGATGCTTGTGGCAAAGCGATCCTTTAAATCAGACTTGAAAATACAAACTGTGCCTTCACCCTTCCTGCAGCCGGGCTCCAGCACACGGGCAGGAGGAGCCCAGCTGTGCCCAGCAGCAGGAGCTGCGCTGCCTCATACCCGCAGTACAGACCCCCGGGTTCAAAGTTCTACCTGCTGCAGAGCTTCTGCCTGTAGAATAAAGCCCAGAGCAGAGGAGAGCATCGATCTCTGCCCGAGTTCGTTACTCCCTCTGCAGTTAAAAGCAGGGGGAAGGAGGAAGCTGCCATAACAGCACTCACAGCCGTGGCTGGTTGAATTCAGAGGACCCCACGTTGGGACAGCAGGAGAGCAACAGCAATGAAGGGCCCCAGCTTCCCAAGGGAAATCGCCTGGAGCGGATCTGGGCTGGAAACTGAGCCCAGAGTCACGTGGGTGGGGCAAAAAACCCACACCCCAAAATACGGGCTCCATGCACAGGGTCAAGCGCAACAGGAAGAGCAGCCGAGGCCAAGCAGGAGCCGTGGTCGGGGCAGCCCAGCCTCCCGGTGCTGTGTGGCCCTTGGCCCATCCCCTGCTACCGGCCAGTGAGGGGAGCGGGGTGAGTGGGGGGACCGGGTGTCCCAGGCAGGGCTCCTTGCTCCAGGTCCCACAGCCCCAGCCCAAGGAGTGGCAGGAGCTGAGGCTGCACCTCCAGGGCAGGAACCTGCCAGGATCCTCCAGTGTCTCCTCGTGGATGGTTAAATCATGGCACAAGGAAGCAAAGAGCATAAATCCCTCTCGGAGCTGGGAACACCTCCAGCTGCGGAGCCTGAATTAGGTCTCATTTCCAGCTGATTTTCTGCCACGGCAGCAGGATGACAAATGGACACGGGCTCTGTGCAGGGGCCCGGCAGACGGGCAAAAGCCAAGCGCCCGCGTGGCTTGGGTGCGCTCGGAAGGTTCCATTTTCCTCCTCAATTTAATTCCTCAGCGGAAAGGCCCAGAGCAGCTGCTGTCTGCAGCGGCCACGCAGCCCTGATGGACCCCACGCGCCTGGCAGGGAGAGGAGGGAGCTGCTGCACTGGAGGAGAGAGCAGAGCCCGCAGCTCCAGACCCAGCAGGCACCTGAGGTCCCTTATGTGCACCCTTGCTGCTGTGCTGGAGCAAGTTGGTGCCTCCCCGCAGGGCTCCTGAGCCAGAGCAAGGGCCGCAGAGGCTCACTCAAGGATGAGATGCTCCTTCTCTCTGGTAGCACCAGGGTTTCTGCCTACTGCTTCGTGTGGCTCGTGCCAGTGGCTCTGCTCGGGGTGGGAACCGGCGAGATGGGGGAATCCGGTGGCTGTTTCCACACAGCAACACCACAGCGAGCCTGGTGGCACCCACAGGGACACCCAGACACAAACCAGGCTGGGCTGTTGCTCCTGCTGGCAGCCAAGTGCTGCCCATGGTCATCCTGACGCAACCCAAAGCCTGCGCTTGCTTCAGACAGTGGAAGCTTAAGGCATCCGGGGAAGGCAAAAGCACCCAAACGCCACCACTGCTGAAGCACTGGGGTGCTCAGCACCCCCTGCTCTGAACACAGCACAGCGATTGCGCTTCGGTTCCTGCTGCTCACGCCCCTGAAGCTCCCGGGGGTGGCTGCTGCTGCAGCCCCATGAGCGATGGGGCCGGGCTCAGGGGTGTGCCCATGCCCAGGAGCCAGCACTCAGCTCCGTTGCTGCTGTTCATCGCTGTGATGGGCAGAATAAACACCCTCCGTGCTGATCCCGAGCTCATTTCTGATACTTGTTTAGAGACTCGACAAGCCCTGTATAAAAGGATTTCCTTCCACTGCTGACTTTGACATTCCTGCATTATTAGATTATTCGCAAAGGTCTGTGCGTGCTGCAGGAAAACAACAGCTCCGACATCCAGCAGCGCAGCCTCCTCCACCGCTCGTCCCGGTGCGGCACAGCCACGCAGACAGCGCCCGGTGGGGCCCCTGGTGCGGAGCGCAGGGGCTGGGGTGAGTGAACCCAACCCAACCCAACCCAACCCTGCCGGGACAGCAAAACTGACCGAACATCGCACTACACGAACCAGGGAGGGGGGCCGGGGGGTTGGGGTGGAGGGAACCCGGCTGGGAGAGCACCGGGCCCCAGGACAGGGAGAGCATCCCTGGGGCACTGAGTGCAGCAGCTCTGGGGCCTCTGAGGGTCCCAGCCCGGGGGGAGGGCAGTGGGAAGCTCAGGGCAGCTCTGGGGGTCCCAGGGCAAAGGGGGGTCAATGAGGAGGGGCTAAACCTCAGGAGAAATCACTCACAAAGAATTCTTCCTTCCGAGCACAAGCCCCGCCTGGCTCCAGCTCCTTCCTGCCCTGCAGAACCCAGCAGCAGGGTCCAGATGCCGGCGCCGCTGCGAATCAGTCCAGGATTCCATTTCCCTCTTTCCAAACCATTGTTTTAAGGACCAAAACCAATAATCAAAGGTAAAGACAGCCAACAAACACAATCCCCAAAGCAGCCCCTTCCCCTCCACGTTATTTATGGCCAGATGAGAAAAGCCTCCCCTGAAACCCAGCTCTTAGAAGGAAAGAATTATTACAACCCCCTCCAACAATCAGTGCTTGAGGTGACTTATTTGTGCTGCTGAAGGCGTGTTTCCCAGTTTTGACAGTGCCTGTGTATCCAGTGCAGCCTGGGTCTCTCTGCGGGGATGTCGGGATATTCCTCAGTCACAACTCTCACCCTTCTCTGCCCACAACCAGCCTCAGCCCAGGCAGCTCCCAGCTTCCTGTTGGAGCAGAGCCCCCAACACCATGTCCTGAGGTCCCTCTGCAGAGAAGGGGACAGGGGGACAGCGCAGGGGCACAGCACGATGCTCCAGCTGCAGAACAACCCCCAACCCCTTCCCTTGGAGGGCAAGTATCCCACCTCCCCATCACCCAGCGCTCATCAATCATGTTCCTTCTAATTAACTTCTCATTTACCTCTTCAGTCAAACCTGTTTACAATCAGAGACAAGACACAACCCAGCGAGGGCTGCAGTGAAGGATGGGCTCTCCCTGCACGCTCCAGTGACCGCAGGGCACAGCCAGGGATCTCTTTGAGCACAAGCATCAGGAGCTGTGATGCTTTAATGCTTCCCAGCAGATGATGCTGCTGAAGAGGCCGAGCTGTGGGCTGGGATGGTCCTGGGCTGCTCCGACCCCTGCCTGTCCTGGGTGCTGGAGCCAGAGCCCACACAGCCCCCAGCCCAGCAGCCCCCAGCTTGCCTTGGGACACAGAATGGGTTTTCCTGCTCTTTTGCCCAAGATGACCCATTCTGTGCATCCCAGACGGGGCCGGGAGCTCCAGCCCCTCCGGCACCCTGGGACCACCACACAGAGGATCCCAACCTTGCCCAGTGGGGTTTTCCCCTCTGAGAGAGGAGGAGAGAAGAATTCATCATCCATCTTGTAAAGGCTGACCTGCAGTAACAAGCTCTGCTCTAATTCAACAGCAGCAGCTGGAGCATCCTCGTCTGTCACAGACGGTTGGGCTCAGGTAGACACAGGCATTTTGCCTTCCTGCATCCCACAAGCGTCTCCTCTGGCTCTGGAGGCACACAGGTACCATGAGGGAGGAAGGACAGCGCCTCTTCCAGGAGGAAGACCAGAGCCCAGCTTTGACCTCAAATCCATTGGCTGTGCTGCCAACAGCTCCCAGGCTCCAGTACAACACTGAGCACAGCTGAGAAAGGGAGGAAAAAACACCTTTCCGGTTGAAAACAGAACAAAGAAATGAGGAATTCCAGCAAGTTCTGCACCAAAAATGTGGGTTTGCAGCTCTTTGGTGGCTGCCGAAGCCACGACCCCCGCGTTGATCCCCTGAACAGGAGCGCTCAGCAGCACCCAGGCCGGCAGCGCCACCGCAGCCGCGGCTGAAGCGGCCGCTCAGCTTCCCTGACAGTGCATTTTTCTTGGAGATAAAAAATGAGTGCTGCCAGCATGCAAATCTCTCTAAATGAGGCAGGGCCCAGCCTGCCGGAGCCGCCGGGGCTCCTGATGACACTCATTAACTCGAGCACAAGAAAGGAGGATGCAGGAAAATATGCACAGCTCCTTGTCCCAGTGAAGCCACGGCTGGGAGCAGCAGCCAAAGCACCGTGGCCGGTGTGGGAGGCGATGGGAGGAGCTGTGGGTCTGCCCCACCACGCTCCGGCCCTCAGCCCTGCTGCAGCTCCGGGTTGTGGGTAGAGGCTGCCC